TCTGCTTACTATTCTTTTTAAAATTTCGGTTCATCTCCTTTTCTATCTTAAGGAGAACTGATAAAATTTTCCACATAAAACCTGTGTCCTTGAAAAAATTCTTTGTGGATATGAAGCTGTTCCTTTAATCTTTGTCTTTACATTTTCAATATACATTCTTAACTATTATTTTTGCCTACCAATAAATAAAATTCGTCAATATTTTTAATCCTTCTCCTTAACAGGCCCATTACTTTTTAATATTTTCAACCTTATTATTACTGTTTGAAGTTTAAGTTTTCTTAATTTAATAAAGATTACTTTTGACAATTAACCTAACAAAATTTCATCAATAGATTAATCAACCCCAATGATGATTATTTTTCCTGCACCTCCTGAGTTCTTTTCTCCTTTTCAGTAGTTTTCTTAGTAAAGAAGGGTCTTTGAGGAGCAAACTCTCTTGACCTTTGTATGTTTGAAAATATTTTCATCTTTACCTCTCTCTTGAATGATAGTTGAAATGGATATAAAATTCTAGGTGGACAATTATTATCTCTCAAAACTTTGTAGATGCTGACACATTGACTTTTCCCCTACTTTTTTATTGTGGTAAAATAGAGTTACCATCTTAACCATTTTTAAGTGTACAGTTTAGTGGTATTAAATATACTCATCCTCATAATTATGTTCATATTGTAAAATTAAAACTCTGTACCCATTCAACAAAAACTCCCCATTTTCCTTTACCCCAGTCCCTGGCAACCACCATTAATTTTTTATATGGTGTTAGGTAAATATCCAATTTCATTTTTTGCATGTGCCTATTTAGTGTCCCCAGTTTCATTTATTAAAAAGAATGTCCTTTCTTCATTGAATGACTTGGCATCCTCATCAAAATTATTTGAACATAAATGTAAGGGTTTATTTCTGAACTCTCTATTACATGGTCTATGTCTGTCTTTATGCCTGTTTTGATTATTTTAGCTTTGAAGTGAATTTTGAAATCAGGAATTGTGACTTCTCTAGTTTTGTTCTTCAAGATTATTTTGGCTATTTGGGTCCCTTGAGATTCCATATGAATTTTATGGTAGGTTTGTCTGGTTTTGGAAAAAAAAAAGGTCACTGGGATTTTGATAGAAATTGCTTGAATCCTATATGGCTTTGGGTAGTATTGACACCATATTAAGTCTTCCAATTTATAAACATGTGACATGTTTCCATTTATTTATGTCTCCTTTAATTTCCTTTCGGCAATATTTTTTAAAAGATTTATTTATTTAGGGCCTCCCCAGTGGCACAACGGTTGAGCGCTGGGCTGCGAAGTTGCCCACAGTCTCTGCAGCGCCGGTTCGATCCCCAGCTGCAGGCGAGGTTCCCACATGGCACGACAGACCTCTCCTGCCATGCCTGCTGCTCCCCTCAGCAGTGTACTTCGTCAGTCTGCCTGTTCTGCTCCCCGCTCTGGCCCTGGTGAATTCTCTCACCCTCCCGCACTTCTGACTGTACCCAGTGCTTGTATAAATAAATAAATCTTTAAAAAAAAAAAAGATTTATTTATTTATGCACACAAGAACTGGTGGGTTGTGGGCCTCCCTTGTGGTGCAAGGAATTAAGTACAGCACTATGAAGCAATCCAGAGCCTCTGCAGCTGATCCCAGCTGGCCAGGGAGTAACCCACATGGCGAAACAGACCTCTCCTGTCTCACCCGCTGCTCCCCTCAGCAGTGTATTTCAGAGTCTGCCTATTCTGCTCCCCATTCTCTCTGGTAAATCCTCTCACACACACCCCCACCCCCACCTGTCCCAGCTCTTGTATGCATAAATAAACAAATCTTTAGAAAAAATAAAAAAAGAACAGGGTTGTAAGCCAGAGGTGTGGGTTGTGGGGAGGGGGTCGGCAAGGGCAGGGTGCGGGGAGGGGTGGTAGTGAGATGATTTACCAGAGATAATGAGGAGCAGAACAGGCAGATTTACTGAAATACACTGCTGAGGGGAGCAGCAGGTGAGACAGGAGTGGTCTGCTGTGCCATGTGGGTTAGCTCCCTGACCTGCTGGGGATCAAACTCTTGCTGCAGTGGTTGGCGATAGCTTGATAGTGCTGTCTTTAACCCCTGTGCCACCAGGGAGGCCCTCAGCAATATTTTACAGTTTTTTAAAAAAGATTTATTTTTTTATTTATTTATGCATACAAGAACTGGGGTGTAGGCCAAAGGTATGGGGAGGTGAGAGGATTCACCAGAGACAGAGTGGGGAGCAGAACAGGCAGATCTATGGAAATACACTGCTGAGGGGAGGAGTGGGTGAACAGGAGAGGTCTGCTGTGCCATGTGGGTTAGCTCCCTGGCGGAGTATAGAACTCATGCTGCAGTGGCTGGCAATAGCTTGATAGCACTGAGACTTTAGCCCCTACACCAGGAGGGAGGCCCCCAATATTTTAGTTTTCATCACTAAATCTTTCGCCTCCTTTGATAATTCCTAACTGTTCCACTCTTTTTTTTTTTAAGATTTATTTATTTATTTATACAAGCACTGGGCACAGTCAGAAGCGCGGGAGGGTGAGAGAATTCACCAGAGCCAGAGCGGGGAACAGAACAGGCAGACAGACAAAATACACTGCTAAGGGGAGCAGCAGGCTGAAGAGGTCTACGCACCATGTGGGACCCTCACCCGTGGCTGGGGATCAAACAAGCACTGCATAGGCTGCGGGCAGCTTCACAGCCCAGCGCTCAACCGCTGGGCCACCAGGGGAGGCCCAGTAACTGTTTCACTCTTACTGTAACATAATTGATTTTTGTAATTTCCTTTTCAGTTTGTTCATATAGAAATGTATGAATTTGTATGTTTGACTTTGTATCCTGCTACTTAGCTAGATTCATTCATTACTTCTAACTTTTTTGTAGAATCTTTAGCGTTTTCTACATATAAGACCATATGAACAGAGTTTTACTTTTTTCTTTTCAGTTTGGATCACTTTTACTTCGTTTCTTGCCTGGTTGCGCTGGCTAGAACTTTCAGTTTTGTGTTGAATAGAAGTGGTGGAAGCTAGCATCTTTGCCTTGTTCCTGATCCTGTAAGAAAAGCTTTCTGTCTTTGACCATTAAGTATGATGCTTGCTGTGGGTTTTCCATACACCTTTTATCATGTAGAAGTAATGGCCTTCTATTCCTAGTTTCTGGTTGTTTTTATAAAAGTTTGTTGCATATTATCAAATGCCTTTTCTGCATCAATTCAGATCATGTGAGGTTTTCCTTCACTCTGTTGATGTGACATATGACATTGATTTTCATATATTGAAATATCTTTGCACTCCCCTGGTGTCAGTTCTAATTAATATGCCACTGAATTATTTGCTAGGATTTTGTTGAGGATTTTTGCATCTATGTTCATCAGCAATATTGATCTATAGTTTCCTTATAGTGTCTTTGTCTATCTTTCATATCAAGGTAACAGTAGTTTCATAGAATGAGTTAGGAAGTGTTTCCTTCTCTTCAATTTTTTGGAAAACTTTGAGAAAGACTGGCATTATTTCCTCTTTAAATGTTTGGTATAACTCATCAGGCCCAGGGCTTTTCTTTGTTGGGAGATTTTTGATTACTAATTTAATCTCCTTATTTAGATCTATTCATATTTTCTATTGATGATTTAATGTGGTTTTGTGTTTCTAGGAATTTGTCTACTTCATGTGTTATCCAATTTGTTGTCATATAACTAGTCATAGTACTTTCTTATGCTCCTTTTCATTGCTGTTGAAGGTGTAATAATGACCTCACTTTCATTTCTGGTTTCAGTAATTTGAATCTTCTCTTTTTCTTATCCCATCTAGTTTAGTTTGTCAACTCTGTTGATCTTTTCAAAAAAACCAACTTTTTGTTCCATTGAAGTTCTCTATTGTTTTTCTATTTCAATTTCAAATATTTCTGCTTTAATCTCTATTATTTCCTTCCTTCTGCTGGCTTTGTTTTAGTTTGTTCCTTTTCTAGTTACTTAAATAGCAAAATTGGGTTGTTGATTTTACATCTTTTCTTGTTTTTGAATGTAAGGACTTACAGCTATAAATTTCCTCCTCAGCACTGCTTTCACTACATCCAAAAAGTTCTAGTATGTTGTGGTTTTGTTTTCATTTATTTCCAAGTATTTTCTTTTTTTTTTTTTAAGATTTATTTATTTATTTATTTATTTATTTATTTATTTATTTATTATTTCTTTATACAAGCACTGAGTACAGTCAGAAGTGCAGGAGGGTGCGAGAATTCACCAGAGCCAGAGCGGGGAGCAGAGCAGGCAGAAGGACCGAAATACACTGCTGAGGGGAGCAGCGAGCGGCAGGAGAGGTCTGCGCGCCATGTGGGACCCTCCTTCAGTGGCCGGGGAGCAGCTGGGGATAGAACCGGCGCTGCAGAGGCTGCGGGCAGCTTCACAACCCAGCGCTCAACTGCTGCGCCACCGGGGAGGCCCTATTTCCAAGTATTTTCTGATTTCCATTGTGATTTCTTATTTAATCCATCGGTTGTTTGAACATGTGTTGTTTGATTTAGTTGCTTATAGTTCTGTGAATTTTCCAATTTTCCTGTTGTCACTTACTTCATCCTGTTGTAGTCAGTAAAGAGACTTTGTATATCTATCATTTAAAATCTACTGAGACTTAACTTGTGGCCTAGCATATTGTCTATCTGGGAAAATGCCCCACATCGCTTGAGAAGATGTATTCTGTTCTTGTTGGGTAGCATATTCTGTACATGTCTATTAGATTTAGTTAGTTTATTGTGTTAAGTCCTCTATTATTTATATTTTGTAGGTTGCTCTATCCAGTATTGTGAGAGGAATATTGATGTCTCTAAATAAAATTGTAACTGTATATTGCTCCCTTCAATTTTGCCAGTTTTTGCTTCATATATTTTGATGGTCTTCATTAGGTACATAAATGTATAAATTATTATATTTCTTTCTGTGCTGAACCTTTTTATCATTACATAATGTCCTTCTTTGTTTCTTACCACATTTTTTAATTTAAAATCTACTTTAGTGACCCTTATTGAAGCTATAGCTGTTTCCACATTGCTGCTGCAGTCAAAAAGGTGCCCAGAGTGATCGTTTTCCTTGACAGTCACCATTCTGTTTGCCACATTTGCAACATTTCAGGAAAACACAGTTCTGCCTACCATTTCCCAGGTACAGACAGACCTTTGTTAATATTGACATGTTTCCAGAGGCCAGGGCAGCAGAAATGTTCTATATATGGAGTTTTGTATGTAGCTACCGGAATAAGACTTTTGAGAAGTAGTTTGTTGAAATAAAGACAGTATGTGGGGCAGGGGTGGTGAGAGTGAGTGAGATGACTGCACTGAGAAAATCCAGTGGCAAGTGGCATTGATCCTAGCCATGATTTGGGTTATTGCCCAGAAAAGCTTTAGGTGTCAAGATCAGGATAAAACACCAGTTAAACTTTTGATTCTGAAGATCAATAAAGGGAATAAAGAGAGAAAATCAATCAATCAATCAATAATAGTCTTTTGTCGATACTAGTATAGCTACCCCTGCTTTCTTTTCATTATAGTTTGCATGGTAACCATGGAAATCCATCCTTTCACTTTCAACCTGTGTTTTTGGGGATCTCAAGTGATTTACTTACAGAGAGTACATAGTTGGATCATGCATTTTTATCCATTTTGTCAATCTGTCTTTTGATTGGAGTTTGTTCATTTATATTTAATTACTGTAAAAGGAATTTACTTCTGTCATTGTGCTATTTGTTTTCTATATTCCTTACAGTTTTTTTGTCACTTGTTTTCTGCATTACTGTCTTTTCTGTTTAATTGCTTGTTTTTAGTGAAATTTAAATTCCTTTCTCATTTCCTTTTGTGTGTGTTCTATAGCTATTTTTCTTTGTGGTAACCATGGGGATTACATTTAACATACTAAAGTTATAACACTCTAATTTAAATTTATACCAGCTTAACTTCAGTGACATACAAAAATCTGCTCATTTACAACTTTGTCCCCACCTCTTTCAGTTGTTGATGTCACGAGATTACATCTTTATATACAGTGTGCTCCAAAACATATAAGTTAATAATTCTTTTAATTGCATTGGTTTCTCAAATTATACAGAAACCAAGATTTGGAGTTACAAACCAAAATTACAGTAATACTAGCTTTTACACTAATACTGATTTTTTCTTTAAATGGATTAGTCTCTAAAATCATGTTGAAAACAATTACAATTACAAACTACTGTTAAAATAAATTTTAAAATGTTTGTGTATATGAATCAACAAAAAAATCCTTTACCTAACACCTATACGAAAATAAATTCCAGACCTAAATAACAAAGAATTTTTAGAAATTCACAACTTTATGACATGGGGTAGGGAGAGTTTTCCTTAAAATGACAGAAATGTAGATCATTATATTTTATTAATATTTATAACTTTTGCCCACAAAAATACCATTAAAAGAATGAAAAGGCAGGAAATAGAGTGGGCGGAGATATTTGCTTCTATATATTACAACAAAGGACTTGATTTAAAAATATCTGACTCTAATTATACATTAATTGCCTAACAAGTTAATGAAGAAAAGATAATAATCCAACACAAAAATAAGCCAATGCCTGGAAGAGGCACTTCACACAAAAGAGGATATTCAAGTGGCTGAAAATTTTATGAAAAGATGCTCAACATGAACAGTCTTCAGAAAAAGGCAAACTAAAACCACATTTTGATAAAGGTCACATAGCTAGGGGATTTGAACCTAGACAATGTGTTAACCTCTCAGGTTCTGTTTGCTCATAGATAAATTGAGCATATTAATGTCCAGCCTCAGGAACTTAGAGTGAGAGGAGGAACAAGTAAAACAATAGAAAACTGATAACTATGTACACAAATATAGTGAATTATGTACTGAAAATCCAGAACTAGAGACATAGCAGTTAAATATTCTGTCTAAAAATTAGCACAAATCATTTTACCAAATGTTTATGAACTTTTCTTCTTACAAGATTTTGTCTTGTTCTTTGTCAATTCTCCCTGATCCCAGGGTGCATGCTGCTACCAAATTAACTCACTGAGAGTCTCAGTGCATAAAAGAGCACAGACTAGACACTTAATCATGGTCCTATAGATCTGCCTCATCCTATCTCTCACTGATTTCTTTTACGAAGCTTAGCCCAGTTCATCTACCATTGCTGCCTGTCTCCTTCCCATAATAGTTACAAGTGCAACTTTATTGAAGTCTTATGACAATCTAATCGTGTATTATTGCTTAAGAAATTATTATTTAAATTTCACGAGAAATTGAGGTTTAGAGTGAACAGCCACTTACCCAATGTCACAGAAATGTTCAATGACAAAGTGGAGATTTGAAGTCAGGCTCACCCAATTCCCAAACCCACAGTGTTCCACTGTCCCCTAACAGCATCAACTGATGTCCTCTAGGCTGAAAGGTGAGTCCAGGTGTCCCTCCTCCCAAACCTTGGCATTGTCTTCTGTGTAGGTCCTTGGGGGTGGGGGGATTTCACACAGCTCTTTCCTCTCAGAGGAAAAGCCCCTCTGAAAGAAACATGTTGGGAAATGAAGTGTTGTGTGCAAGATTGGGGGCTAGGGGGAGTTTCTAGAACTTTCACCTGGATCCCCCCCAATTCCCAGTGGGTCTACCTCAGTCACTCTTCTGAATTCACATCTCCCCCAAGCCCCTTCTGCAAGGCTTATATTGTTGGCATCTCACCTGGACGTAGCATCACCTGGCCTGAACTAAGAAAGCCTAGATCTGGGGGCCAGGTTGGACCACAATTTCTCCTCTCAAGAAGCCTCTCCTTCCAAGCTGCCTGGGAGGCTTCTGGAAAGGCAGGGCCAGTATTTGCTGAAGGAGGAGGCCGGCACAGATGGTGGCAAATCCCAGCATGGTTCCTCCTTCCCCTCTTCTAGCAGGGCAGAAGAGGCAATATTTGTGTCCAAAACAGCAGTTCAATGCTAGGTATTGATTTGGGGACACAGAAAGTAATGGGAACCTGGGAGGCAGGAATCCCTCCCAACCCCACTATCACAGAATAGTGATTCACTATGCACCAGGCCAATTCTAAGTGCTTTACATGCATTAATTTATGCGATTACACAATAACTCCATGAAGTAGCTACGACAACCATCCATTTTACAGGTAAGAAAATATAAATAGTAACTTGTAACTTGCCTAAGAAAGGACAGTAAGCAGATCACCCACCTATAAAGCAGGGATGCCTGTCCTACACCTATATAACACAAGGAGATTTACAGGCCTTCACATTGGCAGTAAGTTTCTTAATCTGGAACCGTTACAGTTTTCCCCCTTTCGCCTTTTTGGGTGTAGGTAAGCTGTTTCCAGTGGGGCACAGGTAATGTGGATGCAGAAAGCCCCTGGGAAGATCCAGAAGAAATTGGTAACCTCGGAAATGTCTCCAGGCAGGAAAATTGAAAGGCTGGGGATAGGGTGAGAATTTACTTTTCATTGTGCTTATAAAAAAGATATTTAGGGCCTCCCCGGTGGCGCAGCGGTTGAGCACTGGGTTGTGAAGCTGCCCGCAGCCTCTGGGGCGCCGGTTCGATCCCCGGCTGCTCCCCGGCCACTGGAGGAGGGTCCCACATGGCGCGCAGACCTCTCCTGCCGCCCGCTGCTCCCCTCAGCAGTGTACTTCGGTCCTTCTGCCTGCTCTGCTCCCCGCTCTGGCTCTGGTGAATTCTCTCACCCTCCGCGCTTCTGACTGTACCCAGTGCATGTATAAACAAAACAAACAAACAAATAAATAAATAAATAAAGCATGCCTCTATAAAAAAAAAAAAAGATATTTAAATTAAATTGTAAAACTGTAAAAAAACTGCGCAGGCGCACGTGGTTTTTGGCGCCCCGAACCCCTTGAGGGCGAGCAGTGGCTGGGTGGCTAGGCGCTTCACCAGCGAGCCGGCCCTCAGTGCTTTTCCCGACGCGTCGAGGCGGGCTTTTTCAGATGCGGAGGAGGGAGGGAGTACGTTCCCCAGCGCTGTGGGGACCTTGACTAGTCCGGGACTGGGCACGGCCTGGGGACTGGGGGTGCCCTGGCTTTGGCGCGTCGGGGGTAAACCCCGCCCAGGTCTCCGGAATAAAGGCCGTCCCCGCCCCCGCCGACAGCCGGGGTCGTTCCCGGTCAACAAGTCGTCTCTCTTTCGCGGTGTCCTCACCCGTCTCTCGAGCTCCCCACCCATTCCCTAGAGGGGCCAGCTCCTTCTTCGAGCGGCTCGGGCGAGGGCCGTACCATGCCCAGCCCAGCGCCCCGAGGCCCCCCGCCGCCGGCTCCCGCGGGCTCTCGGGTGCAGACCCCGCGCCCTGGCCGCTCTCCCGGCCGGGTCACGCCCGGCTCCTCCCGACGCCTGGAGTCCTCCTTCTCCGTCGAGGCCCTCCTAGCCCGGCCCGGCCCCCGCGCGCCCGCCGCCTCCCTGCGGTCAGTCTCCGCCTGCGCTGCCCCGGGGCTCTGGCCCGCAGCCCCCCGGCCTCAGGCCCGGCTTGTGCCCTGGGCGCGCCCCGCGGCGTGGCTGCCCGCCTGCCTGAGCGCGGGCCTCTACCAGCCGTGCCCCCCGCCCGCCGTGCGGGGGCTGCGCGGGCCTCACCTCTGCGGCCTCCAGGCTCTCGGTGTCACAGGTACGAGGGTCTCCGGACCCGGGACATGGGGGTGGGGGGTGGGGGGCGGCCGAAGAGTGGAGATCGCCACCGTGGGCACGGGATGAAGTCCCTGCGTTGGAAAGCCACCTGTGGTTGGGCTTGGCCTTGCAGTGGAAACCTTGTGACCCTTGACCTTGCAGTTGAAACCCCAGCGAGAAGCTCACGCAAGGGTTCCGGAGGAGGGAGGAACTGGGGAGCGCGGAAGGTTCGGGTGGATCAGAGAGGGCTCGGGAAACTGCCGAGGCCAGCGCTGGGGCTGCAGCAGGACCCAGCCCTGCTCCCTGCTCCCGCTCCGGTCCCTGCACTAGGGATTTAGAGCGCCCTGCGTTTGACACACCGCATTTGGATAACGCTTAGTAGGGCAGACTCTTCTCACCGCCCTGTCTTAGCGGGGGGTGGGGGAAGCGTGGGCCCCGGGTGGTACCGTTCAGTGAGGAGCTGCTGGGAGCTGGCAAATACCCAGACTCGGGTACCTGCTCCACTGCTCACATCTGTGTGAACGTAGTCTCCACACCTAACTGCTCGGAACCTGCTTGTTCCTGCAATGGTACCGTAGGGCTCTGGAGCACAGGCACTTACATCCCAGTGAGAATTTAATTGTTAAGGCAACTTTAACATTTATTTGTTAAGTTTAATTGTTAAGGCGACTAGCATTAACATCTGTTTATGGGCCTCTCCTGGTGGCGCAGCGGTTGAGCGCTGGGTTGCGAGGCTGCCTGCAGCCTCTGCAGCGGCAGTTTGATCCCTGGCCACTGGTGAGGGGCCCACAAAAAACAAACAAACAAACAAACAAAAAAACCACAAACATCTACTTACACAAATGTTGGCCACCTTGGGCCACCTGGCTCATACTTTCCCAGGTAGCCACCAGGAAAACAGGGGCACAGTTAATGCATGCCCTCCCGTACCAAGACCCTTGTGATACAGCGTTATCTGGCTCCTACTCCCTGGGCTTCCCCCACCGTACATTTCCTCAACTCCTTCCCGCTGAATATTTCCCCCTCTGTTGGAGAGAAACCCCTCTGGTCATGCCACTGTGTCTGGGAGCCAACTTTTCTAACCCTCCCCACACACCCCAGGCCTGAAATGCAATTTACTACTTTATATTGCAATTGTCTCATTTTCAAATAAGTGTTTGTGTAGAAATTACACCCACACAGTTCAAAGGTCAAAATGTTTACTAAGTTATATGGAGAAGTTTCCTCTACCACTCCTGCCCTCCCCTCAGCCACCTGCTTACCCCCACCCTACAAACAGCCAGTGACTTCTGTTTTATTCTTCCAGAGGTATTTAATGCATACTTAACACCTAAATACACATCTGTGTGTATACATGTGTGCATATGTGGTATACACACACATAAATATAATATATATATATATTTCTCCTCTCCCCAACCCCCATATTAGACACATTGCTCCACATCTTACTCTTTTTCACTTGGCCATATATTTTGGAGAATTTTCCATATCAACACTGTCAGAGTTTCTTTACACTGTAGAGTAGTCCACTGTAAGGATGTGCCATAATTTATTTAATCAGGTCCCACTGATTGTTTCTCATCTTTTGTTAGTAAGCTTATGATAAGGCTAGTGGGGTGAGTGGTTAGGGTCCCAGGTAGCCAGGGCCTTGCCTCACTCCCTTACTGGGGCAGTTTGTCTGCCAGTCCTAGAGCCTCCCCAAGGCTAGTGGGAGCAGAGGAGTCTTACTACTGCAGTTGCCATTCCTCAGTCTGGAACATTCCTCTCCCCAATGCCCAGTGGCTCACTTCCTCATTTCTTCCAAGTCATGATGCAGGTACTGTCCCCTGGCCATCCCTGCTGGCCTACAGAGTGGTGAGCTGAATAGCACCTTTGTGTGCACTAGAGAAGGACACTGCTTCCTTCAGGCAGACACAGCACCTTGCCAGAGGACAGGATTTGGCCTATGGAGAGTAGGCAGGATTTCAGACACCACTTAGCTTCTCAGCTGGGTACCTCCACTTACCTCTCAGCTGCCCCCTCTGTGGAGAACAGCTGCACAGAGTGACCCTGTTCAAGGTCACCTCGGTGAGGTGAGGTGGCTATCCTTTATAAAGATGCAAACTGTCCTACCCCCTAACACTCACATATCCTTTCCTACTTTATTCTTCTCACCAACGATAATCACTTCCTAATATACACAAAATTATACTTATTTCCCTTTTTTACTGTTATATAATTTTGTTTGTCCTAGAACTGTGCTTGTCGCATAGTAGACATTCAGAAAGTATTTGCTGAATGAATGTTAAAAGGGTCAGCAATTGGTGATTTCTCCTTCCCCCACAGCATAGGATGTCCTGAAGTTGCCAAGAAAAAAAGTGAAAGCAAGGAGAGATGGAGGAGGGGGCAGCTCTCTTAAGGCCAGAGGCTAAGTTACTCAGCTAGAGAACAGTGGCGCAGTAGTCTCAGAAGATTATCTGTCCCTTCCTATTTGTTTTTTCTCCTTTCTATGCAGTCGCTTTTCGCTACCTTCTTACTGTGTTCCCGGGTCATAGGCAAGGCAGGGCAGTGGAGCTGTGTGCTTGGGCTCTCTACCCCAAGGTGGGGGACCGAAGGGTGCTGGATAACCTCCCCTCCTGCTGTTTGCCCTTTAGGCTTGGAGCTGGCCCACTGTCCAGGCCTCTGGAGTTCCCCAGACTGGGCCCCAGCTGAGGATCTTCAGGACACTGAGAGACCCCAAAAGAGGGTTCGAACTATGTTTAACTTGGAGCAGCTGGAAGAGTTGGAGAAAGTGTTTGCAAAACAGCACAATCTGGTGGGGAAGAAGAGAGCCCATTTGGCAGCCCGGCTCAACCTTACAGAGAACCAGGTGGGAGCAGGGACTCCTATAGGGCCTGGACCACAACTGGGGACAGATCTCTCTGGGAGATTTGAAAAGGACTTTGGAGGAAGACATGGGCCGTCGTCCTCTGTGCCAGGCCATTTGGGGAGATAGGCCCTAACCATTGGCACACTCCCTACATGATGAAAAAAGCAGTCCCATTCAAAGTCACATCATGGGAACAACATACAAAGTTAATCTAGAACTTTATAATGTTATCTTGCCATGTGAAATAAGTGGCTGACAGTGAAATTAAACAGGCTTTTAAGAAACTAGATACTATTTTTTTTTAATTCCCTTTACCTCATATTCTCCCCTAGCTACTGCACAATTTCTCTGTTCTTTTCACAGGCAAACTCCACAGGAACTGCCAGTGTTGTCTCCATGTCCTAACCTCATCTACTCCTTAACTCATTTCAGTACAAATTCTTTCCCTACCACTCCCCTGAAATTTCATCAAGGTCTCTAATCTGTGTTGCTCAAGTGAACAGATACTTTTCTTTCCTCATCTTACACTACACTCAGCAGCAGTCAGCATTTAAACACTCCTTCTCTCACAGAAATACTGCTCTGCTTCCAGACGCCGCATTCTCTTGGTTTCCTCCCAACTCGCTGGCCTCTTCTCTGCCCCTGTGTAGGCTACTCTTCTCTGTGGCCTCAAATTTTTCCCCCCTGCTGATCTCATCTATTTCCATGGCTTTTTTTTTAATACACTATTTTTAAAAATTTTTTTAATATATACTAGAACCAGGGTACAGGCCAGATGCACAGAGGGTGAGAGGATTCACCAGAGCCAGAGTGGGGAGCAGAACAGTCAGATCTACTGAAATACACTGCTGAGGGGAGCAGCAGGCAAGACAGGAGAGGTCTGCTACGCCATGTGGGAATCTCCCCGGCCGGCCGGCTGGGATCGAACCTGCGCCGCAGAGGCTACAGACAGCTTCACAGTGCGGCGCTCAACCACCTACGCTACCAGGGAGGCCCTATTCCCATGGCTTTAAATACCATCTATAAATGATCCCCAAATTTCTATCTCTAGCCCACTCTCTTTTCCCTCTTTTCTGACTTGTACTACTACCTTTCTGAGGTCTCCATTTGGGTATCTTATGGATACTTAGACAAGTCTAAATCTCAATTCTTGATATTTTTCCCCCAAATCCATTCCTTTCCCCACACAAAGCCCCACTCCCCACCCAGTTGCTCAAAATGCTTACTCATCCTAGATCCTCCTTTTCTCCCACATCCAATCTATCAGCAAGCCTTGATTGTAACCACTACTGCCAAAATGCAGCTGAAGTTGTGTTATCAATCTCCCTTGTCCCCAGTTCATACCAGCCCCAGTTCTTGCTGGATCACAGCAATAGCTTCCAAGCTATCTCTCTATACCTGTTTTCATTCATTCTTCACACAACAGCAAGATGTGCAATTCGGACCTCCCCGGTGGCGCAGTGGTTGAGCGCTGGGTTGCGAAGCTGCCCGCGGCCTCTGCAGCGCCGGTTTGATCCCCGGCTGCTCCCCGGCCACCAGAGGAGGGTCCCACATGGCGCGCAGACCTCTCCTGCCGCCCGCTGCTCCCCTCAGCAGTGTACTTCGGTCCTTCTGCCTGCTCTGCTCCCCGCTCTGGCTCTGGTGAATTCTCTCACCCTCCCGCGCTTCTGACTGTACCCAGTGCATGTATAAACAAAACAAACAAACAAACAAATAAATAAATAAAAAAAAAACATGCCTCTATTAAAAAAAAAAAAAAAAAGATGTGCAATTCACTTAAGATGTAAATAGGATGATGTCACATCACACTTAAAAGTATCAAGGTTGATACTCCTTACCCCTGGACGTCACAGTCATGGATGATCTGGCCCCTAGTGACCTCTCCATTTTCCCTATTTGCTTTTTCCTCTCACTCTCAGATGTTTCACCCCTGCTCTCCTCCTTTCTGACCCTCAAGCTTGGTTCCACCTTAGAGCCTTGCTATAGGTCGTCCCTAGCCCCAGCTTACTTTGTTGCCACCAGGATGTCCTCTCATCCCGAGTGCTGGTTCTCAAGGATGCTCAAGTTACTCTCATTCGTACTTACATCATTCTCCCTGGGTTTGTTATTAGTCTCTCTCCACTAGACTATGCCCCTATTGAGCAGGGACTATGCCCTTTTGCTCACCACTGTATCATGATCACCAAGGGTAAGGCCTGTTACCCAATAAGAGCTCAACAAAGACTCACTGGATGAGTAAATGGCAACTGGAATTATATGGAAGAGTATTTTGGAGGAGATGCTTCCCTTTAGAAGGAAGGGCAAATTTTGAAGAGAGGAATAAGTGCTGCAGGAATAGGGTAAGTGCAGTGGGAACCGCTGGTCACAGTCTGATCTCTGCCCACTGCTTCCAATTATAGGTGAGGGTCTGGTTCCAAAACCGCAGGGTCAAGTATCAGAAGCAGCAGAGACTGAAACTGCCAACTGTGTCTGCCATGACTGCATCCCCCATCAAGCCCTCTAACAGCTTGGACACCAGCATGCAAAGAGAAGACGCCAAGTCAGGAGTGGACAACTAAGCACCAGGACAGAGGCTCAATCCAGCCTGTCTGGGCCAGTTCTTTCTGAGGGTACCCACTGGAAAGAACTTCCTTCCCTACATCCTAAGAAGAGACTCATCAGGGCCAAGAGGCACAAGAGGAATATGAACTATAAAGCAGTTCCTTTCTCTATATATGTTGACCTCTGGGAGTTGGAATAATGTGAGGTCAGATGCACAGACTTTGACCTTCAGCTATGTCCTTCACCAAGTTACTGAACTACTGAGCTTTTTTCTTCATCTATATAATGAGTATATTGATCATTTAGACCTCCCAGGGCTGGAACAATGTCTGTAAAGCACTTACAGTGTGCTAGGCCCAGTGCTGAGTTTGCAGTAGCTGTTAAGGCTTATAGCTCTCTCTCATCTGGGGGAGCAGTGGGTGTACCAACCCTGACCTCTCCAGGGATCTTTCCCTGGCCTGGCTGTGGAGGAGGAGTCTCTTTGAATCAGTGCCTGGGCATAGAGGACTTCTCTACCACAAATGGAGTTGAGGGCAAAGAGGAGGGAAAGGCAGACCATTTAACCCACTTCCTCTTACAGAGTTTTCCCAAATATTCTTGTTTTGTCTGAATTATTACCACTTTCAGAAGGAGCTCAGGCCCAATTGCCTCCTTGGAGTAGGTATGCTACCCTAACCACCAACTTTCTCTCTAGCCGCCAGCCTTGAATCTTTTCCATCTTCATATAGAATAGAGAAATTTGACTCTGCCTTTACCAAGGCATTTTGTCATAAACTCAGAAGTATTTTCACACAGTGGTTTTTCCCTTTCACAGCCCTGACTTTAATCCCTTTCCTACCCAGGCATATGCTTGTTTTCTCTCAGAAACCCTGTGAGGTCTGCCACCAGAACCGATTTCTCTAGCTCTCTCCCTCTGGGCCTTAGAATCTAGAAGGGCTTCTGGGTGCTGAGGTGAGCTGGTGGAAGGAGATCCGCCCTGCCACCTGGTGGTGAGATAGAGTAAAGTCAGCTTTCTGTAACGCTTTCTGTTGAGAGCGGAAAGGGCAGGGAGCAGAGACGCACAATCCTCCAGTCGCAGATACCAGTTCACAAGCTTGAGGGTACCAGGGCCCAGCTTTAAGAACCCTTCTGTGTCCCTGTATACAGGAAAATGCTTCATAATGCTGAACCTAACATTAACTGAAGGAACCCAAGTACATCTGCCTCTTCCAGGAGCTATTGGCTCTTTAAACCCCCCCCCCCCAAAAAAGGTTAAGTTACCTATTCAGCAGTTAGTGGACTCTATCCAATCCCAAAAGTGGTGTCCACCATGGCACCATAGCAGACGCAGGCACTGGTCTCTTTTCAAAGAGCACAGAATCAATTGGAGAACAAAGCTGACTGTAGACCCCTGTAGCCCCTGAAGCGTCTGGGAAAAGAATAAGCCGAGCTTGGCTTTTGGTAGTACTGTCTGTCCTGCCCAAGAGGGTCCAGGAAGAGAAGTCTGTGCGGACTCTGTAGAATGGACACATGGGATAAGCTAGTCCCTTCCCTTCAGGTTGGGGGTCAGAGAGGATAGAAGTGGTCAGCTGCTGTGCCACCCCTCAGCTGGGTCCCCAAAGCGCCTGACTCAAGATGGGCCACTGGGTGGACAACCACTGGCAGACACACTGATACATCAAAACCACACGCACACACTGGGTCTGCTATAGAGGTGGCCGCGGCACACACTGGCCGCGAAGACACAGATGGAAATGCACAAAGGCGGACCCCGCTACACCAGGTCAGCGAGCGAACTGACCTAAACACATGATCAGAGGAGGGATCCCAGGGCCGACAAGCGAGCGCGCAAATCCGCGCGGCCTCGTGGACACTCACGCCCGGCGCGGGGGCCGGAGGGGGCGGGGCCTCTCGGGTCGACACGAGGTCAAGGGTCAGAAGGCGGAGGCGCGCCCAAGATGGCGGCCTCCATGTGCGACGTGTTCTCCTTCTGCGTGGGCGTGGCAGGCCGGGCCCGGGTCTCCGTGGAAGTCCGCTTTGTGAGCAGCGCCAAGGTGAGGCCGGTGCAGACCCGGCGGGGGGCCCCCACCCGGTCCGGCCTCGGAGCCAGCCCCATGGGACCCCATGCCGGGAGTCTGGGGGCTCCTTTCGCACATATGTTACACTGAGCACAGTCGCTGCTCGCTGTCCGGAGCCTCCCAGTCTGTCCCTGCGCACAGGCTTCCGGGGCTGTCACGCGGTGGATCGGGTCTTCAGGGTTTCAGTGCACCCCCGCGGAGCCGGGCCTATCTGCCTGCGGCCCTGCCACTCCAGGCCGGGTTGGGGGACCTTGATGCTGGACAGAGGGAGCGACGGGCGGGGACGTGCTGAGTAAAGGGCACTGAGGTACAAGACTGGATCCTCAGGGAACTTTTTGAGAGTTTAGGGTTGGGGGGAGGCAAGAGCCTTCACCAAGGCCCTTGGAGTACCACGGAATTTGGAAAGTAAACATCACTTAAATCCTGTGTTTGTTAAGTATGTGTATATTAAAATTCCATTTTCAGAAACTGCTTTTGATGCAGCCCTAAATCTTTGGCTAGCAACAAACCTATTTGTACGTATTCATTTTTAAAAATTGAATAATAGTCTGTTTCATGGGAGAGCCACAGTTCACTCAGCCAATTACTTATTTATGGACTCTGTTGTATCTTTTAACCATGAGGTGGAAGGTCTGGGAACTCTGTGCACATATGTATGCTTTTATTGTACCTAGCACTGAGTATTTTCTTTCTTAGTTATCTTTGCTGGTCGATAAGCACAAATGGTATCACTTTGTTCTCATTTACATTTCTTTGTTTAATAGTGAGGTTGAATAATTCATTATGTGTAGCGTCTGTGCTTACCCTTGGTCCTTGCCTAAGATGTCAGCCTTCTAGTCATCTGTCTCCTGCTCTCCACATCTTCATACCAATCCTCTTTCTCAACCTAGCCTTCCATCTGCCCTCTTCTCACTTCAGAGGAATCTGGAGCATTCCTCTTCCTTGTCATTAGGTCTCCAACATCCTTGGCTGCCTCAGATGCTCGCATCTCTATCTCTACCTCCTTGGCTTCTAGTACTCTCCATTAGCTGACAGTTTGATGGTGTCTCCATTCCATCACTCCTATGTACAGATATACCTTCACTTAGTCCTCTGTTTCTACCTCTTTCCTTCCCCCCCCCCCCAACTTCATCACTTCAGTCACTCTACTTGCCCATTTGTCCTATCCAAGCCTTCTTGTCAAAACCCCAGCTCAGGAAGAGTGAGTTGACTGCCCTCCCCATGCCTATACCTGGTCACATACCTATCCCATCTGGTGACAAGATTGATTATCCTGGGTAGGCTTTTTGCATCTGTATTCATCAGGTGAGATTGGTTTGTAATTTTTTGTATTTGTGCTGTCTTACTCGGGTTACCACATTAGGCATATATGCTTGATTTTTTTTTGGGGGGCGGGGTAAAGTGGAGCTTTCCCTTTTCCCTCTGAATATTTCAAGAACATGATATTTGCTTTTTCTTGGTTTGAGAAAGTAGACAAGGGGGCCTCACATAGGAGTAGTTTTTGACCACTTTCTCTGTTTTGACCTATATCTCTATTGCTTCTATAGATACTGCCAGGAATGACTTTCATATTTTCACCAATCGCTATGCCAGGGATAGACCAATCAGTACAGAAATTTGACCATATATAATGGAAGCCAACCCAAATGTCCTACTGATGCACATCAGTCAGATATCCCTACTGCTGCTTAGTCTGCCTAGGCTTTCCTCCTTTTGAATTCATTCTTAGCAGTTTTTAGTTTTCTAGAAAATCATTATTTTAATAAAATTTTAAATTTACTACATAGTCTTAAGAGTTTTGCATCTTTTCTAAAAGTTACTCTTCAAATTGGAAATTTTTGGCCTGCTTTGTGCCCTTTCAGTTCAGCTTCAGTTCTCTCCACTTCATGGTAATATGGAGTGGAATTGTGTTTCTTGAGACACGTTTTGAAGGTGAGTGTTTTCAGAGAAAATCAACTCTGATTCTTTTCCCTTTGTTTTAACTACCAAATATTTTCTATATTTGGTTCTCCAGAAAGAGGGAGAAAAAAATTAATATTTATCCAGTATTGAGCGCTGAGGTCACCAGAGATGCTATGGATCCCTGTTCATATATTTTTGTCCCACAGAGGAAGGCCAAGTTTTTATTTTGCCAGATTGTGCCCCAAGAGCTACTAGGCATGGCTATAGGGCTCCAGGAAGACAACCAGAGGTGCCATCACAGCTTTGCCTAGCTGTCAGCTGTGTCACTATCCTGTTAGAGGCCCCAGAGTTGCTCAGAATAGCCCATGCTATTCTGACTTTGGGAGGTATTCCTGTCTAGCCATAGCACCAGTGCTAGAAGAAAATAAGGAGCTACCTGGGAAGCCACATGACAGGACATTTCACTACTCTGCTGAATGATTTTTCTACATTTTTGTGACAGTTCAACGTTGGCAGAGGCATCACCCCTCTTTGTTAAGTGGATGGTGAGAGTAAGTGCCTGGCAGGCCTAGTGACTGCCTGGATTCTGAAGCTGTCTCCTGAGTGAGTCCCATTGTACATGAGGGATGACAGTTCAGTAATGGTTTTCTCATCTTTCACCCTTTATATGAGTGCTTCTCAAACTCCAGCATGCATATGAATCACTGGCACATCTTGTTAAATTGCAGGTTCTGATTCTGCAGCTCTGGCTGAGATTCTGCATTTCTATTAGTCTCCCAGGTGATACCCATGTTGTCAGTTTCTCACCTCACTTTGAGTAGTAAGGAGCTAAAACTCATGAGTTACATTTACCTGTGCTACATCATTGCATCCTGAAAACTACCTTAGCTACTATTAGCTACCTTAGCTATTACCATAGCTATAAGGATTAACAACAAGTTAGCTCTAGGACCAAGGACAGTCATTCCTTTCAGTGGAACACCTGAGAAGTTGTTGGGGACCAGGTACTATGGTAGGTGTCACAAGTACCCAGCCAACTAGGGAAGTAGGACACATTCCTGCTGTGGTATTGACTTTCTCTGCAACCCTGAGCAGTAGCATCACTGCCAGGATCCTGAAGGGGCACATGGGATTCAGAAGGGACTGCGCTGTCATTTCTAGCTCCTGTTCCAGGAGACTGCAGCCTGCTCTGAGCTTTGGCCCTGCTCTGGCCAGTCTAAAAATTCTCTGAGTGGTGTGAGATGGCTGACATGGCACTCCCTGTCCAAGGCCTTCTGCCCTAAACAAACTGAAAGCAATGTGACTGAAAGTAGGTCAGCACTGCATTTTCAGAGGAGGCTGTGTGAGGGATGCTGACCATGCTCCATGAACCCTCCCAAGGCAGAGACCACTGCTGAGTGGGAAGCACCTGGGGGTGAGGCTGGGTGGCCCTCTGGCCTTTGGAGCCCTGTCCTCTTTCTCCTTATGGCCATCCTTTTCCTTCCCTACCCTTTTAGGGGAAAGGGCTATTTGCCACACAGCTGATCCGGAAGGGAGAGACCATCTTTGTGGAACGGCCCCTGGTGGCTGCACAGTTTCTTTGGAATGCACTTTATCGCTACAGAGGTGAGCTCATCGTGCCCACTCCCCATGGCTGATGACTCTGGGATTCTGGGTATTGGGAAGAAAGACTTTTCCCTTGGAGAACCTTGCCTGAAAACCATGCTTTTGTCTAATCTCAGGCACTTGGGTGCAGTGAGCCTGCAGGTGAGAGACTGAAGCGCTCCCTAGGGGAGGACTGTCATGCAGGTAGAACTCAATCTGGCCCATAGGGAACTGGACGTCATGCTTAAGGACTCTGCCAAAGAGAAGGCCATGTGCTCCTTGGTCAAAAAAGATTGACATAGGGGTCAAAAGCTAAGCTTTGACCAGCCACATGCTTTTTTCACCCTTTTCATAGGCTAGAGAAAAACTGAAAGGAGGGTCAGAATGGTTGTAGAATGTGGGGAAAGCCCAGTTTGGCAGGGGAGGAAAGCCCTACAAATAAAGTCCCATCAAGACACAGAGTCTGACAGCGTGGATGGAGACTCCAGAGAGAGAAGAGGAAATCACTGACTTTGTTTCTTTTAAAAAAAATATATTTAAAGGGGAGATTTATTAAGGAAAGGGACAGAAGAATAAAGGACACTTGCATAGACACAAGTGGGCAGGAAGAGCTGCCCCAAAAGGGACAGGTTTGGTGAGAGAGGCCTGCATGGTTGCAGGCGGGCGGCCTGCAACCAGGAGAGCTGCCTCCACTGAGGGAAGTCAGTGAAGAGAAGTCCCAGCATGGTACAGGTCACAGACAGGCAGGAGGCTGCTGCCCTGCAGAGAGAGAAAGTTGGTGAAAAGAAACACCTGCATAGTCACAGGTGGGCAGACAGACTGCTGCAAGGAAATCATTGACTTTTGAATGAATGAAGCTCATTAACTTAATTCTTTAACACAGTCATTCATTCACTCGCTTCCCCAACTTTTGTTAAGCACCTACTGTGTGCCAGGCACTATTCTAGCTCTGGGGATACTGCTGTGAAAAGGATAAATATGGCTGCTGCTCTCAAAATACTGACATTGTCATGTCTGGCCCTCTCCATCAGCCTGTGACCACTGTCTGCGGGCACTGGAGAAAGCAGAGGAGAACGCCCAGCGGCTAACTGGGAAACCAGGCCAGGTTCTGCCACACCCCGAGCTGTGCACTGTGCGCAAGGACCTCCACCAGAACTGTCCCCAATGCCAGGTGAGCACCCCTGGGGAGTGTACTTGAAAGGAGGCTCATAAAGTCCTCCTCAGGGAGGCAGAAATAAGGACAAACCTGGTCACAGCTCTTGAGAGCCACAATGTAGGGTCGAGATTGCAAAGGCTCAGTTACTGTTCAAGTTTTGTCCTCCCTGTTTTGGCCCCACTGTCCAGAAAATGGACTTGGTGGGAGCTAGCTCACTTCCTGGGATCCTGGTGGAGACTCTCCCCTCTAGCTGCAGAGCTCTGTTTCCTTCCCATGAATTTACAGGCCTGGGTCAGAAGCGCCTCTTACATGCTCAGAGCACCCTATGCTCTGTCGTACCACTGAGCTACCACCCAGAGCTCTTTGTGGAAGGAGTGCAGCTAGAGGATGTGAGGACCATGTGGGATGTGTGTGCCTCAGCCCACGGCCAGATCCTAGGGTGCTGACCTCCACCATCTTCCCCAAACAGGTGATATACTGCAGTGCAGAATGTCGCCTGGCAGCTGCTGAGCAATACCATCAGGTCCTGTGCCCAGGCCCCTCCCAAGATGACCCTCTGCATCCTCTCAATAAACTGCAGGAAGCATGGAGGTAGGTAACATTTCATCTGTTCTTCCCTTTGTCCTTCCCTCCCTGCTTGCCTGGGCTTAACAGATATAACCGTTTTTCTTAAGTTACCATGCCCTGGATTTTATCCATTCTTAGGATTAAACAGGGGTCACATCTGTCAAGCCCACCTTACCTTCCTCCCTACCCGCTTTCCTCTGAGCTGCCAGCACCACCATCCAGCACATTTTACATACTCTCAGAAAGCAGCCCATTAAGCCCACAGGGTTGTAAAACCAAGTCCTTGCCAATTTCTCTCTTTGTGGGACTGCTAGGAAGGATTCTCTGTAACAATCAGACTGGGCTTCCCTGAACTCAGATACTAGGGTGGGGGTAGATTTCCAGACCCAATATTTTTCTTTCTCCCCAGGAGTGTTCACTATCCACCTGAGACAGCAAGCATCATGTTGATGGCACGGATGGTGGCCACAGTGAAGCAGGTGACTCCACCTGCCTCCCGGGCAAACTGACTCTGGCCTCATTCAGTTCTTGACTTCAGTCTCCTCCTCGCCTCAAATGCTGACTTGGATGCAGCAATTCTGCTGAGCTTCTAAAAGGAGAGCTGCTTGCTCCATAAACCTTAGGAGTAACTAACTGTAAATCTGGTAGGAGGAGAGGACAAAGGTCATCTTGTCTATAGACTGAGCTAAGGGAGGACTTCTCGTGCAGCAGAATCCATGCATTCAGTTTCTGAGCACCACTTCTTCAGGACTACATCTCCTGCATGAAGTAGGAGGAGCCACTCAACTCTCTGTTTAATATTGTTGCTCCTCAGGCTCATTCTTCTGTTTTTCCTAGTGTTGTTGAGTTGGCTAGTTTGACCCCAGTTGGGGAGTTGGTTGGGTGTGGGTAGGGTGGGGAGGAAGGCCCCAGGGAGTGTAGAGGGCTCCCTAGAAACTCAAGTGTGATGGTGTTCCCCCAATGGCAGAGGCTTTAGAATCACAGGCTGCCTTCCCATGTAGGTGGGAGTGACGGTAAGGAAGCAGATGTCCAGGAGTCCACATGTGTACCCTGAATGTTTGCTTATTCACTGCAGGCGAAGGATAAGGATCGTTGGATCAGGCTCTTCTCCCAGTTCTGTAATAAAACAGCCAATGAGGAGGAAGAGATTGTCCACAAACTCCTGGGGGACAAATTCAAGGTCTGTTGATCACCCTTTACCCCCAATAGCCTGATGAGGACACATTTGGCCCCTTTCCTACCACAGGAAAGGCTGAGAGCCTGGAGCCAAAAATCTATTTAGAGGACTTATATTTCTACTACTATTTAATTTTATGACCTAATGTGGGCCTAAAATTGGAAAGTGGGATGACAGACGGAGGGGTGAGGTACTCTGGTGTAAGAATGTAGGACCCCACAGTAGGATAGCAGTGGGCAGTTAAGGGGTGATGGGAAAGGAAGGATTGGGAATCCACAGGATCAAGGAACCATGTGAAAAGGAGTATTTGAGTTGACAGCGTATTGGGCACTCATTCCCATGAGTCAGATGTTCTCACTGAGCACAGCAGCGCTCCCTGTATGCGCTGCCTAGAGGTGGAGGCAGGTGTGTGAAAGGATGTCTGGACCACACCTTCCTAAGAGGAATTTTGAGGGAAGGAGGGGGACTCCTGCTGACAGGAGGTCAGAACAGGAAGCCTGGAGGGTGGTGGTGAGGATGGATGTCCTAAACCAGGCTGCCTCAGCCCCACTGGTACCAGTACTGGAAAATAGGAGTTTGGGGGTGCTACCCTGCAATGGAGCGGGCCACAAAACTGCTCTTTGTAGGTAAGGATTGTGGCATTCCTTTGCTCCCAGAAAACCAGAAAAGCCTGTCTACGGATAGGGCCCTTTTCTTTCCTCCCCTCACCTGGTATTCTGGGCTGTGCCTGGATGCTAATGGGAAATTCATAGGGATGCAAATCTTTCCCTGCTTCCCTTACACCAGGGCCAGCTGGAACTTCTGCGGAGACTCTTCACAGAGGCCCTTTATGAGGAAGCACTTAGCCAGGTGAGCATGGGGGAGGTTCAGGGGCCTCCCAGCCCCGCTTGCTCTCCAGGAGCAATTGGGTGAGCATCTCTTGTTCCTGCTGGGACAGCTGACTGGCTCTTTTGGAGTTGGGATAGGGCTGACTCATGGGAGATTTCCTGACAAGAAGAAAAGCAAGTGACTGTAACCTGAGTGCTTATTGCTCTTTCCCCCACAGTGGTTCACTCCAGATGGATTCCGGTCTCTCTTTGCTCTCGTTGGTACCAATGGCCAAGGAATTGGGACCAGGTTAGGAGAGAATGTTTCAGAGTTTTGGACTTGGCCCTCGGGGATTGGGTGGGAGATTAATGAGGAAGGTAGCCCCAGCTTTGTTCAAGAAAACTAGGGTGGGGCAGAGTGTGACTGTGCCAGCATTCTGGACTGGACACAGTGGTGGAGTAAGAAAGATTGAGGAAGTAGAGTCTGCTCTTGGGAGCACTGGTCTGTTGGGGAAAAAGGGATCTCATCCTCAAGAAAGAAATGGGCTTAAGTTGCCTGGGGTGGAGAGCCCTGTGAGCTGGGCCTCCTTCTCCAACTATGGCTGGCTGGGACCCCCAGCTCCCTGAGCCAGTGGGTTCATGCCTGTGATGCTCTGGAGCTGAAACCTCAGGACCGAGAACAACTGGACAACTACATCGATCAGCTCTACAAGGACATCGAGGCAGGTTGGTAACATGGAGTCTTCACCTTACCCAACCTTGGAGATCCATCTCCCCGCCTCCCCAGTCAGAAGGCAGACACACAGTCTTCCCCCAGGGAGCTTTGAGTTCATGGTTGGGAAAGGTAATCCCTGTGTGCCAGTGGAAGCTTCACATCTGTCACTAGGACATGCAGACAAGAAATGCCCTGAGATCCATACAGAGGCTTGTTGCTAGAGTTGGACTTCGGAAGATGGGGGGGGGGGTGAGGGGGGCTCACAGATAGGGCGATAGTGATTATAAAAAAGCAAGACTTGTGCCTCTGAGAAGCAACTTCAGGTAAATGGTAGGGATTGGCAGGTGGGGCATCCTGGTAGGGTGACAGGACAGTGGAACCAGTACCTGTCCTTGTAAGCCTGGTTTCTTTTTCCATCTAGAAAATGGATAGAATAACATCTGCATGTTATTGTCTTACAGCAACTGGCGAGTTTCTTAACTGTGAAGGATCCGGCCTCTTTGTGCTTCAGAGCTGCTGTGAGTCAACAGTGCTGTGGAGGGAGGGCCTCACAGCCACAGTTCAGCTCTCTTATTTGGCCCCTTCTAGGCTGATGCAGTTGAGTCTGGTGCAGGGTTAGGTCTTCAGTTTCCTTTAGATTCCCCTGGATCATTTGATTACACCATGTTTTCATTTATACATTCATCGGACTGCTTGTGCCTTAATATGTTTATATACAAAACATTGCAGTGGACTAAACGCTGTCTTAAGACAAGGGCACATATCTCTGATTCTTGCAAAGGGAAGTGTGGACTTTGCACCACCACTGCCCTGTGAGATTTGGCAAGGGAGTGTCATGAGAGGGTAGGAGGCACTCAGGATCCTGGAGGAGGAGCTCATGCTAGAAGGTGAGTCTCATCAGCAGCTGATGGAAAGGAGGAGCGCCAGCTCAGGCTGTCATCTTTTCCAGATCTCAGCCTCCCAGCCCTAACCAGCCTCTGGTTTCCTCATTGCAGACCCCTCCTCCCAGGCTCTAGTGCCATTCTCTCCCTCCCTAACTCAGTTCTCAGAGGGCCTGGTTCAGTTATCACCAGATGTCCAGTAGCAGACAAGACTGAGTTAAGTGGTGTGGTTTGGTGTTCCTTTCATAGCCCTGTTCCTCCCTTTGCAAGACAGAACACAGCTGAGGATCTAGTTGACCCGTGAGGAGAGGGGGTGGGAGAGGGGAGTGATGTGGGAGTCTATTTGTGCCTGTGCACTGTGGCCTTCAGGAAAGAGCACTGGTTAGGGATTGGTTGCCAGTACTTACTCAGCTTTAGCAAGGATCAGAGAACATGGCGAATGGGACCCACTGCTCTGCAGAGTTGAGGCTGATATTTTCATTAGTCAACTGTCCTCATTACCTGCTTCTTGTGATCCAGGCAACCACAGCTGTGTTCCCAATGCAGAGACCTCCTTCCCAGAAAACAACTTCCTTTTGCATGTCACTGCCTTGGAGGATATTAAGCCAGGAGAGGTGAGAGGGGCCAAGAGCTGGGAGTGGGGAGGAAATGGACCTTTCATGTTTTCTCTTGGGGTCAGGAACAGCATTGGATGGGGCTTCAGGGGCTGTTGGGTTGAATCCCACACTCCCTAAGACATGAGTCTTTTCTCCATGGGAAAGCTCTAACCTCACTTCTTCAAAAAATAATTCCTAAAAGAGATAGCTGTGCACCCAGGTTCTTGTCTCCAGCCCATTTTTATAAAAAAAAAAAAAAATTTTTTTTGGTAGTTCCTAAGAAATCAGGAGAAATGGCTCATTGTGGTTTGGACCATGGGGTGCTAGTAGGGTTTGGGGGCCTGGCTGTTAGCACAGGACAAAGAGTTTGGTTGAATCTTCTTCCAGAGTGTCGCATCAAGATAACCTTTGACCTCAGAAACAGACCTTTGCCATTGACTGCCTTTAACCATGGCCTGAGACTAGCTGCAGTCCCCTCTCAGCATCAGACATAGGATGTTGGGGCAGTGGTTGGAGATAAGGCAGTGGTAGGGAGGCCATTATTCCATTTGATAGAGAACACAGGCCTTCAGAATCTGCCCCCCTTCTCTGCCTTCCAGGAAATTTGTATCAGCTATTTAGACTGCTGTCAGCGGGAGCGCAGCCGCCACAGCCGCCACAAGATTCTCAGGTGCCTGCCGGGGATGTGGTGGGCAGCTGGGCTCTCGGGTCCTATTTCCTGATGACTGCTTGACTATTCACTCTCACCACTGTCCTCCCACCCCCTTCAGGGAGAATTATCTTTTTGTCTGTTCCTGCCCCAAATGCCTGGCAGAGGCAGATGAACCCAACGTGACCTCAGAGGAGGAGGAAGACGAAGAGGAGGAGGAGGATGCAGAGCTGGGGGATGAGATGACTGATGTGTGATGTTGCCTGCCTAGAAAAGGCCCTGCCCCAGATCCTGCCGGGAAAGGGGGCCTTCCCTCAGAGAAGAGGCTTGGAAGGAACACCCCAATCCCGTTGCCTGCTTCCCCTCCTTCCAGCTCTGTTTCTGCGGGCGGGTAGGACAGAGGCTGGACCCTAGGCTCTCCATCCCCCACCAGACTTCACGCCCTGGACACTGCTGCTGAGCGGCTTGGGCTCTGCGCTATATACTGAGCCTTTCGAAACTGGCCTTCCCCTGAGGCACTTCACTTCAGGGTGTGAATGGCTAGAACCATGTCAGGGCTTAACAGTATTTCTTCCCCTTGGCCCCATGGCCATGCTTACCCATCCGCCTGAGGCTCCACCTTCTCAACTTGCTAGTGAGAGTTGATAAGGCAACTGTTCAGCTGCTTACATAGCTGTGAGGGACAGGAAAGAAGAACTGGGCATCCAGAGGACCTTCCCTATGGCTCTCTTCCATCAGGAGAACACTGAGCCAGGGGGATTACGTCCCTCTCGCCACCTCCTCACTCTCACCATCCAAACATCTGGGATAGTAAAGATTAACCTCTCCCCCAGACTCTACAACCTGCACTTGTGCCTTGCCTCGTGGGCTCTGGCACAGTGGCTGGCCCAATTGGGGTATAGAAGGGGCCGCTGCCTCCCTCAGGAGGAAGGGGCATGTGGGGGATCTTTACCCTTTCCTCATACCCTTGTCCCACTGAGGACTCCAGCAACATGGCTGAAACCTGGGTGTTGACATGCCCATGCTGCTTAATTCAGGATGCTCTAGAGTCTTCCTTGGGACCAGGTTAAAATGAGTCAGTGAGACGCCTGGCCTCAGTCTCCATCTTTAGGATTTCCACAGAACATTGAAGTCTTCCAGAAACCTAGACTTGCTGGGCTACTCTGAGATCAGCCCTGACTGTGTCCTCTCCCCTCAGATTAGCACTACCCCTCTCACTCTTAGGTTGGATGCTGTGGGAATTACAACCCATTACTCTCAGTTCCTTCCAGCCTACCTTCCCTGAGAGGCCTGCCACCACCCCACCCCCCTGAGGGATCCCAGGGAGGGCAGGTGCCCCACAGGCCCTTTCCTGGATTATGGAGCCAGATGGAACCTGCCTGTCTGGCCTATTGGGTTCTTCACAGAAGCTAGCACCCCCTCCCACCCTGCCTGCCCACTATTCTCAATAAAATATGAATGGTGACAGGCCTCTGCAGGAATGCTTTGTGAAGAGTGGTTTAACAGGCTGGCTGTGGCACACAGCAGGCCAAGTAAGTGGTGCATAGGGGCACAGGATAGACAGGGTGATAGCAGGAGACAGGGGCTCCAGCTCTCCACTTTGGGCTCATCTCTGGTCTCTGACTCTGCTGTGTAAATGTTTCTAAGACCCAAGAGGAAGGGTCCTCTGAGGTCCAGTGTGAATGCCCAGTGCCAGCTGCAAGATGAGTCTTCTGTGTTGAGATCCAACATTAGCAGTCCAAGCATTGGTCCTCAGGAAATTGATCAAGTCACGTATCCCCTCTGGGCCTCAGTCAGTTCCTCCCATCAAAACAAGAGCATGGGATCAGAGGAGTGTTTGTATACCACCCCTCCCTCCCCCCACCCCTATACTCTTATTATTCTAGGACACAATTGCAACCCTGATAAGAGACTTTATTGCTAAAAAGTCTGAGGATTTATTGAGTCCCCAAACACCCAATCCTTAAACCACACCAGGAACTGCTGTGAAGAACATTGTGAGGAAGAGACCCTGGGTGGGGGAGACTGGAGCCAGGTGGGACTTGGCAGGTCACAGATGGCTCCTGGGTTCCTTGCCTTTAATTTCTTTTGTTCCACATTCTACCCAGAAGCCCTGGGATCTGGCTCTTGCCTCTTCCCACAGCATGAGATACCCTTGGGTGTACCCTGGGGAAGGGAAGGCCAGTGGTGCAGCTTCCCTTAGCCTTGCCAAGGCCCTAGCCTGTGACCTGTACCTGTCCCCCTTTCCCCAAGTGCTATCCCCAAATCCCAAACAGCAGAATTCCTGGATTCCCCCTTCCCAGCCCAGAGTTGCTTATGGCAGGAATGTGGGACCAGTTCTACCAGAAGGTCCAGGGTGGCTGCAGCAGCTCAAAGGTGGGGATGCTGGTGACATTAACTGGAATGGAAATGATGGCCCATGGCAGCCCATGCTGTTCCAGGGAGCGGCGGATCATGTAGCTGGGAGAGCATGAAGAGAGGTGGTGATGGTCACTTTCTCGGCACCCCATCATGCCCCACTGTCCCCATTACTGGGGGGTTTCAGTGCCCAAGGACTTGTATTTCCCTCCAACTAGGGCACCCCAAGATGGGGGCTTGAGGGAAGGGACTGGTGATTGCCCTTGACCTCCCCAAGTTATGGCACCCAGCCTGGTGCTGACACAGCCAAAAATAAGGAGCCCTCACCCATCTCGGCCGAGTAGGAATAGGGCAGGGATGTCAGCGGTGCGCTGGGTACTATCCTGGATCATCTCCACGTAGAAGCTGTCATTGTCAACCGCGTTGTCAGAGATGATCACCGCCCGCCCGCCGTGCTCCTGCACCACCCGGGTCTTGGAGAGGAAGGAGCAGCCCCTGGAAGAAGTGGTGATGAGACCAAAGGAAAGCGGTTCCTACCTACCCCCCCCCCCGCCCCTTACACCATCACCCGGGGAGGATGAAAGATCATGGAGAACTTCTTTAAAAGGCTTTAAAGCAAATTACCAAAACACATGGATAATCTTAAGACATTTCTTAAAATTATAAACAGCTATTTCAAAACACCACTGCCCCTACAGGTGTCTGCCTGCCCTCCTTGTGCCCATGCCCATGTGGTCCTTACCCCCGCTCCACCAGAGCGATCTGGTCCTGGATGAAGAAACCGTTGCTGAGTTCCCCACAGGCCTCTGAAGGTTCCGCGGGAACAAGATGAATCTGCTCATACCTTGTGTGCTGTAAGACATTAGACTGGTGAGAATGTGAAGAGACTGTCAGGTCATCAGGCTGACAGTCCCACAAAATGTGATGGAAATGTGCTGTGGTTTCTGTGTGCACTTAAGCATTTTTACTTCGGTCTCACAAAGGTTTATCCTACTCCAACCTGCCTTTCTGTGAGATAGGGGAGTTGGTGTGGACCCAAAGAGGAGAAGTAACTTGCCTTAAGTCACACCGTTCAGAGGGGGAACTAGCAGAGCCCTTGGTCTTTCACTAATTAGTGACCCCAATGAAGACAGTCTGTCCCTCCAAGGTGCCCAGGTCTATTAGACCCAGTGGAGCAGCTGGAAGCTATTCTGCACTTCAGCCACTGGGGGGCAGAGCTGGAGTCTGCTCCCGTCCCTGTCCCAGAACCCAGGTATTGTTTGAAGGATGTGAGGGCCATCTCAGCTTAGTGGAGAAGATGAAGCTAGGATCAGAAATGGGGGGTGGAGGGCAGGGGAGGAGAGAAGCTCTCTGAACTTACGAAGATACCACCAAAGTCCTTGGCAGGTGTGGCTGTGAAGATGTATCGAATGTCCCCAGGACTCAGCACTTGAAAATACAAATAATCATGGATGCGTAAGCCTGAAAGATAAAGGGTACAGGTGAGAAGCCTTCAGGGAACAAGTTGGTTCAGACTCAAATCACGGACCCTGTGTCTTCAATTGGGCTAGTGATAGTCTGGGCCCAGGGATCCAGCTTTAGCAAAATGGGTCCTCCAGGTGGGTGGGACAAATTGGCTCTGCCCTTGAAACGACAGAGTTGATGCAGACAGAAATTAGTAACACCAGGGGCCTCCCCGGTGGCGCAGCGGTTGAGCGCTAGGTTGCAAAGCTGTCCGCAGCCTCTGCAGTGCCTCTGCAGTGCCGGTTTGATCCCTGGCTGCTCCCCAGCCACCAGAGGAGGGTCCCACATGGCGCGCAGACCTCTCCTGCCACCCACTGCTCCCCTCAGCATTGTGCTTCAGTCCTTCTGCCTGCTCTGCTCCCCGCTCTGGCTCTGGTGAATTCTCTCACCCTCCCGCGCTTCTGACTGTTCACAGTGCTTGTGTAAATAAATAAATAAATCTTAAAAATAAATAAATAAAATTGGATTAAAAAAAAAAAAAGAAATTAGTAACACCAGAGATTTATAGATGCTGCTGCTGCTTACACAAGTGATCCAGGAAGACTGAGGGATCTAGTGTAATCCTGAGGATAAAGTAGTCCATTATTGCTCTGAGTGGACTTGGGGGTTTCAAGGTGGAGATGTGGTAGCTTGGGTACAAAACATTTCTCAGTAAAACTTAAAAGTTGACTATCAGGTTCTACTACTGTCTCCCCTACTCCTCCCACTGTCATATCTTGTCCTGACTACCTCCAGCTTTTTAACTGGTCTTTTGGCCTCCATTCTTGCTCCCTAAGATCCACTTCCCAAACAATAGCCAGGGATCTTCTTAAAATGTCTTAAAGTAAGTGTGATTATGTCACCATGCCCGAGGTTTCAATACTCTACAACAGCTTCCCTTTGCACTTAAAATCTAAACTCTTTCACTATTGTCTGCAAGGCCTTGCTTCATATGACCTACAGCTACTTTTCCAATCTCATATCCATCCTGTGTTTAAGCCATGCTGGCCTCCTTTGTTTCTTCTTTTCTCCACTTCTTGCAAGCTCTTCCCTCCATAGGCGTTTTCCTACCTTCACCCCACCCCACCTCTTTACCTGGCTCACTGCTAGTCATCCATCAACTCATAGATTAAATGTCACTTTCTCAGAGAAACTGCCCTATAACTGGCCTCCCTTTCAATTTGAAAGTACATTCAAAAAGTACTTTTTCTTCATTGCCCTTTCCACATAATATTTTTAAAGATTTATTTTCATTTATTTATGCATATAAAAACTAGGGTGTAGGCCAGCGGTGTGGGGTTGTGAGGATGGTAAGGATTCGCCAGAAGCAAAGTGGGAAGTAAAACAGGTGGGTCTACTGAAATACACTGCTGAGGGGAGCAGTGGCCAAAACCGGAGACATCTGCTGTGCCATGTGAGTTAGCTCCCTGGCCAGGGATCGAACCCATGCTTCTCATGCTGCAATGGCTGGTGATAGCTTGATCGGGCTGAGACTTTAACCCCTGAGCCACCTGGTAGGCCCACTTTCAACATAATTTGTTGTTGTTGTTGTTTTTTTAAGATTTATTTATTTATTTATACAAGCACTGGGTACAGTCAGAAGCGTGGGAGGGTGAGAGAATTCACCAGAGTGGGGAACAGATCAGGCAGACTAACGAAATACACTGCTGAGGGGAGCAGCGGGTGAAGCAGGAGAGGTCTGTTGCGCCATGTGGGACCCTCGCCGGCAGCCTGGGATCGAACCGGTGCTGCAGAGGCTGCGGGCAGCTTCGCAGCCCAGCGCTCAACCACTGCGCCACCAGGGGAGGCCCTTTCAACATAATCTGAACACTATACAGTATTTGTAATTGTCTAATGTTTGCCTCCTCCCCTAAGACAAGGACCATGAGTTTGTAGCTTCATTCAATCTTGTATTCACATCACCTAACACAGGGACTAGGAGATAGTGGGTGTTCAGTAAAAGTAATTGAATGAATGAACAATTATTTCCAGCTACCCTGCACTGAGGAAGACAACTGTCAGAAGAACCAGGTTTTTCTGGGGTGTGGGAACTTTTCATTTGCACTGAAGTTTAATATTTTAGCTGTAATTGAGTCCCTGGTTTCCTTGGTCCAGAGAGATTGAGAAACGTGGAAATGTGGAAGCCACTGCACAGGTCAAATGGTCAATCAACAAACTACCAAGTCACAACTGTGCCAAGATCACAGGACGGTGGCTTTCTGCCTAAATCACAGCCACCAGGTAGAGCACCATTGGCTTGGCACAGAGCTATGCATTCTATTAACCTGGAGGTGGAGATTTCCCATCAGATAAAAGTAGACTCCCAGGAAGCCTTCTGGATTAGCACTAAACTCCCCCTCCTTCCCACAGACATCTTTGCCTGACCTTTTGCATCTGCTGATCTGTGTAAATTAAGCGTGGGTATACATACATGCTCACGCAGATACATTTTTGTGCTAGTGAAGGTGCAAACAGGCGGTATGTACGTGTGTCCACAGGTAGGAACGTGAGCTCTTATGTATGTGAGCAGGTGATAATATCACTTGCTGTCCCATATTCCTCCTAGTCGCCCCCTCAGCCACCAGAGAAGGGGCTCCTGGGGGGAGGCTTGAGGGCAGGCTGGTTTCGACAAGGGGAGCTGAGGACTCTAAGTCCAGACTCAGGCAGCGCCAAGCTCATGTCACTGGGGACTAGCACCCACCCAACTCCAGCCGCCCGTCCCCGCTCGTGCCCTGCTCGAAACTCGCAGGGTCCCCAAGGTGACCCGTGGCCCCCGACCCGAGACGCGCGCAAGCTTGACGGCCAACCCCGCCCCGCAGCGCAGCCCCACCCGTTGCCGCTCACCGTGAGCCGCGACGCACGCGGGGAGCCAGAGCACGAGACAACACCAGCCCGCGGCGCCGGGGACCATTTCCAGGGCCCGGCCCGGCGCCGCGCTACCTCCAGCAGCCCGGCCGCGCGTCGCTGGCCGGACTTCAGCCTGACAGCTGCTCCGGCCTCCCTCCCACAGACCCGCTCTAGCAGCCCGTTGGCTGAGAGGAACGAGGCCCACGCCTGATTGGCTCTGACGACTGCCCATGTACCTGCACTTCCCGCCTCTGCGCCTTAGTCCACTTTCTATTGGCCGAGAGAAGTGGAGCCGAGGGCTGATTGGCCTAAACTCTTAATAGCAACTGCTGGCTGCCACCACGGCCCCACAGCGTTTGTCAGGTCGGGTTCCACTTTCCTGGAGCTCGCTGGCAGGTGGGCTGTCTGAGGAGGCCCGGGGCCTGAAGTGGGCGCTCGGGCGGACTCGCTTCAGTCGCGGAAGGTCCCCGCAGTCTTTGTGGACTCGGTGGGATGCTGCCCGCGGCCGCCTTGTCCCAGCTGTGACGCCCCCCGCCCTTCCCTTCCTTGGGCAGCATTCTCCAACGCCTAGGTGGTTTCTCGCGGCCCCTGCTCTGCTCACTTCCACTGTCGGGGACGCGGCCTGATGCACCCCACCCTGCAGGAAATGACCATTGCAGAACTAGAAAATGGACGTTGGAGTCAGGTGCCTACACCCACTTTTCTATCACTTACTGTGCAACTGTGACTTTGGATACGTTTCCTAACCCCTCACCCTCGGTACCCTCATCTGTAAAAGACTTAACAGTACCAGCGCGGTAGAGTTGGGGGATTAGATGTGATCACTCTCCTTACGTGCTTACTTAGCCTAAACCTGCCCAATAAAAGTCCGCATTTACAGCACTCCTTAGTCTGGCGTCCGGGGGAGTGGGGCAGAGAGGGGACAAGGAAATAGGGTTAGCAGGTTACGCGGGCCGAGCAGGAACTCTGCACACCAAGAGAAAAAGCACGACGGAATTCCTGCAACCCTTGGAAAACCAGCACTTCTCCCAAGAGCGCCGGGGGAGACCCAGCTTCTGGCCCTTCTAGCCAAAGCGACTCTGTGGTCGAACCATAGAGAGGCGGAAGTGGTCCGTCCCCTTCCTCTCCCGGGCCAACGGCTTGGCGAAGCTTCTGGGGATTTCTCTAGCGCGGGGCATTGTGGGGTTGCTGGGCGGCCTGAACAAGGAGAAGACAGACGTATCCGGCCGCTGCTGAATAAGCATCCAAGATGATGGTGAGTGGCGTCTCGCGCATCCTTCGCCATCCGCAGCCATCTGGCCGGTGATTGGCGCCATTTGACTGGGCTCTGTCCGACAGGCCCCTCCCCTACCTACTGACTCCGTCCTTGCCCGGACCCCCTGTCTGTAGGCGACCCCTGCCCACCGCGGCCTTATTTGGCCCCGGCAAGGAGCAAAAGGGCCTGGGGTGAGGCTGTGTGGGGCTCGAGGGTAGCCTCTGGTCGGGAGGGAAGGGGACTACAAATCCCAGGCTGCTTCGGGGCCGCGAACTGCTTCGGGACTGGGGTGTTGTTTTTTCAGCCCCCACGCCCGTGGGGCGTGTTACAGGAATGTGAATTCAGTGTGCACATGGGGTTGACGGCCAGACTTGGAAACCCTGGCTGCTCTGGGAAATTCTGGCTGTAAAGATGTGTGCTTCCTGGCACGGCCACAGGCAGCATGGGGACTTTAATTTTGGGTCAAGCCTAAGATGGCAAGGAGGGTCTCTCGCTGTCCCCCAGCCGGTCCATTGATGCAGAGACGGACCCCTCCGCTCGTGCTTTAATTCATTCACATTAAGTCAGCGCTGTTGTATTGCCTACTGAATGTTCCGTGCCCAGATAGTTGTTGAGGGTGCAACTCCTCAGCCAGGAGGTTGGGCTGGGCAGATGGAGACACCGGATGGGAGGTGGGGAAACGAGCCCTTCTCTCTGACCCTGCCAGCCCCATTCCGCATATGACATTAGACTAGGCTTTTGTAGTTGGCCACCCAATTCTGGATTTTACTTAGTTAGACTAGGGGGGTTAGCAAGTCCTGGAGGCTCTCTGTAGCCATTACCTCCCTCTGTGGCATACCTTTCCTCCATCTCAGAACTGCAGATACCTCCCATGGGTTGCAGGCAGTTGTAGTGTACCCTGAGTTGCTAAGCAGACCAGCTTTTTTTTTTTTAATTTTTATTTTTATATTCCCTATACAATTACAACCCCCTTATTTTTACCCCAAGCCCTCCTTTCCCCGTCCCCCACCCTCCATAGAGTGTCTCTTGTTCATAATTATTTGTTGATTTTGATGTTTTCTTTCTTATAGTTATTCTTTTTCCTTAAGCAGACCAGCTTTTAAGGAGATGCTTGGAGCAAAACCTAAGATGTTGCTCCCTGTTTGCTTGGCAGTTCATTTATTCATTCTGGCCTATTAGTTCAAGTCAGTTCTCTTTTCCTGCTTCCTGAAGCTTCTTTTGTCCTGGTCGATGTCAAGCTGATAGCTGTGACATGTTCTGTCTGCTGCTAAATACCCTGTGAATACAACTTGTGTCCAAGATTGAAGGAACTTGGTATTTATGTGTTCCTTCCCCGCTTCATACCTCCAGTGCTGCCCCTTTTCATTACATCATCAGTTTTTCGTATGTTCCTGAAGTCATGTTCTTCTGTGTGGAGGCAGCATAGTGTAGCAACTGAGTAAGGACTACACTTACTAAGTTTGTAATTCATTATCACTTACTAGCTCTGTGAATTTGAGCGTGTTACTAAATTTCTTGCCCTCAGTCTGTTAGATGGGATAGCAAGAGTGTATTGGTTTATGGGATTAAATGTATTAAATATATAAAGTGCCCAGCATGTAGTAAGTGCTTAGCAAATGTTAGCTATTCTGCTAGGTGGGCTGCTTGCTACCTTTCCTCCTTCGCAATCCATCCCCCTGTCAAGGACCCCCCCATCAAAGGATGGGGGGTCAGAGCCAGAGTCCTTCAGTGCTGACAAATCCTTTACCAAAGAACTCCAGACTAGCATACTTGGGTTTTGCCTTGTTTCCTTGCTGTAATGGCTGTTTGTATCTCTGCTCCTCTTGGAATGTAAAACTTCTATCACCAAGTTTCTTCCTTGCTGTCATCCACTTGGCTCCAGATATGCTAAAAAGCCTTCTGCGATTGGAAGAGAGATAAAAGGGTTCCTTCAGACTTCACTCCTGAGACTTAGAAACATTTTGTATGAAATATTTTCCCTGCCTTTTTGGTGTTGAGCACTGTGTGCCTGGGCATATGAACACTTGTTTTATAGAATATCAAGCTTAAGACTGTTTAATACAAGTTTTTAAGGAGAATGAAGATCATTCAACCAACATTCTAAATCTTCCATTAATACCCTTGGTAGGTAGCTACTGTTACTGTTTCTTTACTGAGTAAAAATGAGTGAGGCTGAGAAGTAATTTAGGGACAGAAGCTGAACTTTCTGTAGCAGGCACCTCCTGCTTCAACTGGCTTAGCTCATTCTAACCCTGCCACCTTTCTCTCCCCCATAGGATCCTCCTCTTCCCAATCTGCCTTTTCTGTACAGCCTTTGAAGCATAGGGAACTCGGTGACTGTGGTCAGCTGCTTTCAAGTCCATTTTGCTTTGTGCTTAAGAATTCTCAGTCAATTTAGTGTCACCATATTGCCAATTCTTTTTTCCAAAAGTAAAAAGCACTGTGCTGTCTTACTTCATGCTTTATGTCAAACACTTCAAGTATTAATATATGTAAAGTTGATTTTTCAACAGTAAATGCTGCTGTATTACTGCTTTATATGTGGCCAAACTTGGCACCCTACAAATTGAGACTCCTATAGTCTTTACTTTGGGAGGAGCTCATACTTTTAAAATGAATGGTAATATAAAAATTCTTTATAAGAGGAAGCAATAAGAAAGTTATGGGATTCCCTGTTTAGGATGCCCTTGCTAACTACTCTAGAGAAGACTGAATATCTGAGGAGTTGCTTGCCTGGTGGTAAGAAAAGGGTTTGGTAGAAAGTGACAGGGTGGCTTTTGTAGATGAGGGTACAGTTTGGATGTGGAGGTGAAAAAAGGTCTACAAAAACACTGGATAAGATCACCTGTTGGGAAGGTGAAAGAAATCTATTGGAGGCAATAGGAAAAGACTGACTTTGATTTTAAAAGTGTACAACTGTGTTCAGAGCAAGGATGGACCAGAGGGTACTTGAGGCTGCCATGAGGAATGATTTAGCAGACCTGAGAGGAGGTGGCACCTTTTAGAGTTTGCATCTCTCCTGATAGAAGACCCCAAGGACCAGGTCAAGCAAATGGCCCAAAAGAATACTGGTAGTGTAGAAAAACCATTTCTTATCACTAGACTTGGGACATTATCATAAGAAATAAGGAATTTTCCCTCCAGCACATGCTTGACCCCAAACCTAGAGGATTACCTTACTGGCATTCTTTTAAGGAGGCGGGAGGGGGGGGGTGGAGAATTTATGCTCTTTAGGGGAAAAATTGAAACAAAAAATATACAATACAAAATTTTAAAACTCTATTTACTGCCATACTTGTTCCTTAGAGTATGCCCCATTTTGCACATTTGCATATTTTCTCTTTTCTCTTCTTAGCCATTTTCTGTAGGTGATGTTTTTTCTTTGTTTTTAACATAAACCAAACTGTGCCATTCTTTGGCTAAAAGCCTATCCAGGGCTTCCCTCCTTGGTATGAAAAAAACCTAAACTCCAGTGTGATCTCCAGGTGAATCAGTGGTCTTTCTGGCTGTTTTTTCGGCCTTCTTCCAGTCTCCTGGCCAAAGAATTGAACTTTTTAAGGAATTACCCTGTTAATATGGAGTCAGTCTCATGTGTTGCTAGACATTCTGGTGTGTGAACTCTTGATTCCTCATTGTTAGGCTGTGGCGACTATGTCTTCCTGTGTCTTTCTTGCTCAGAGACCTGAAGTACCCCTAGATGAAGCCTGGGCAGTGACTTTCAAACTTTTTATTGCAATTCATATAAGAAAAAAAATTTTAATTTTTTTTAAGAAATAAATTTTCAATTACAGCCTAATAGCACATACACAACTAATATACCAAAATTTTCAAAATAGTAATTAACCTTACTGTATTATGTTTCACATAGACATAATTAGTCACAAGCCCTGGGAAGACTGGGTCTGGCACATGGACTCAGCTCTGTGGCATGAGCTTCACCATGGAGAGAAAGTTCTCTGGTTTGTTAAGCTATCTTTGATCATCGGAGCAAAGTTGTCTAAGGCCCTTAAAATAAGCAATTATCCCTGTATTCCCAGAGTTTCTAAAACAGGTCTGCAAATTAAGTCTGTAAGGGAATTTAGTGACTGTTCTGGAGACTAATGTGAAAGAAACACTTCTTTGGAAAAATCTGGCTGGATTTTTTTCACAGAGAGCTTTATGGAGCCAGCCTGAGAGTGGGAAACATAGAAATTAGATGTGTTGTTATTTTGTGAGGTAGGACAAAAGTGATATTTGTGGCTCTGCTTCACTATTTTCTAGGTAAAGCTGCATGGGCATCTCTTGAGACAACTAAGGCTGTTGGCAGGTTGTGTTTTATGTCAGAGCCCCTATATATTTCTCTAGGATTAAAGCTCCAATACCAACTAATATGTAGATGTTTTGCTGGAGAGTGAACCTTGAGCATGTCCTGCTGCTTCCCGCTGTGCTCTGACCTGATTCCTCAACACTGGAAATAGGGTCAGATATTGGAAAACTGTGCTTGTTTAACTGGGCACCAGAGGTGCATTATTTGATTTGTTCTTTTAGACTAGATAAGTGCTTCTCAAACCACTTTCTAACACACCTTCAAAGGATGTTGTGGCCATGGCAGTGTGTGGAGGTAGAGGCCAGTGTACGATTAAGGATTGGATGTGGTGGGCAGTTGGGAGATGTGGTTTTAAAGGGCCTTTAGCTATTTCTGTTGCAGGGAAGTTGGGGACATTTTTCCTCTCCCCTTCCTCCTTGAGTCATTTTGATAGATGATTATTAAAAACAGTCAATTGCTCTTTCTTGTCTAGCCCACACCAGTTATCCTGTTAAAAGAGGGGACTGATAGCTCCCAAGGCATTCCCCAGCTTGTAAGTAACATCAGTGCCTGCCAGGTGATTGCTGAGGCCGTAAGAACCACCCTGGGCCCCCGTGGCATGGACAAGCTCATTGTGGATGGGAGAGGTAAGTGTGCAGGAGAGGCGAAGGTTCTTGGGGAGCATTTGGGGCTCATGGAGGATGCGTCAGAAATCACTGCTTTTAAGATCTCTGAGAAATTAATCACTGTGAAGCACTTCCATTTCATACATTGTCCCACATACTGAGCCCTGCAGGACTATGTTGGGAAAACTGGGCTTAAGAGCCTGTTGTCTCAGAGAGAGATACAACCTAGAAACATAAAGTGGAACCACCAATGTCATCATTGTATCATATTTCCAAGACAATGAGTAAATCCCCCTTATGTTTTAGTATATTAGATAACATGTGAGATACTAGGGTATCAGTTGTGTTACTATCTAAGTGATTACTCATTCTTATTTAGAACACATTTTTCTGCATCCATTTGAGGTATGCTGATTTGCTGCTCAGAGGAAATCAGGAGCTCATGATCTTTGGAAATTTGTGATTTAAGTGGTCCTTTGTGCACAAAGCTAAAAAGATCAGATTGGTATTTCCCTTCATTCCTGCCATAATCTCCTCTGCCCTGCTCTAACTAAGTGCACGTGGGGCCAACTCTTAAATTGTCTACCTAGAAGACAATTTTAGAAAAGGTTTTTTATTGAGGTTTATCAGAAGGGGAGGTGGGGCTCCTGAGGAATAAGGAATGGAGGAGCTCAATGGGTTTTAGTGGAGGATTATTGGTGCTTCTGGGGAGTTTAGTGTAATGACATAATTTGAAGGCCCCATACCCCTAAAACATAGTGTTATAGACCAGTGTTACCTCGCTCAAAATAACTTAATTAAAATAAAATTTTAAAGGAAAAGGCCTTTAATTTTTTGCTTTGTGTTTTTTCCTTTTAAGGCAAAGCAACAATTTCTAATGATGGGGCCACAATTCTGAAACTCCTAGATGTCGTCCATCCTGCAGCAAAAACTTTAGTGGACATTGCCAAATCCCAGGATGCTGAGGTGGGAAAATCAAGCCTATGTGTTTAAATGGGGTGGGAACACATGGCAGTGTGCTCCTTTGCTCTTGCCCCAAAATCTTGTGATTTTTATATGTAAAGTTAATACATGCTTATACAGATAATACATGCTTGTAAACATACTTAGATGGAATTAGTAGTCTTTTAAAAATGTATACCATTTCATTGCATGTAGCCAGTATCTTAAGAACCAGGACCAGGTGCTGCCATTCATATGAGTTGGTAGGTAAATAATTTACACTCTCCTCTGTTAGTCACCATATAAAATGGGACTGGAAACACTACATTTCCCATGTGTTTTTTTTTTTTTTAATGGTGGTAGTTTACCATCTTTTTTTTTTTTTTTTTTTTTTTTAAGATTTTACTTATTTATTTTTACATAGAATGGGGTGCAGGCCAGAGATGTGGGGAGTAACAGGATTCACCAGAGACAGTGGGGAGCTGAACAGGCAGATCTACTGAAATACACTGCAGAGGGGAGCAGTGGGAAAACAGGAGAGGGCCTCTATGCCATGTAGGTTAGCTACCTGGCCAGGGATCGAACTCGGGCCTTCATGGTGGTAGCACTGAGAATTAACCCCTAGGCCACCAGGGAGACCTGGTAGTTTACCATCCTAATGTGTAAAAGTAAGTGGTATCAACCAGTGTACCTTTTTAAAAACCACTAACACTGGAGTCAATAATTCTGGTTTTCCTACCACCTGAAAGTAGACCTTTCCTATTTGGAAAGATTTAGTATGTTATTTTTGGGGTCTGGAAATGCTCAGAATGTTTCTGTATAATTTAGTGGTAATAGTGCTCCTAATCTCAAAATATAACCAATCAAATGCTATAAAATAGGAGTATTCTACTTTTGGATAAAAGGGAAATCTGTAAATGTTGAGAGAGATAGGTATTACAGTGTGTCCTGAAGTTATATTAAAATGTTTATTGGAGCCTAATAGCCTATGAGACAGTATGACAAAGTGAAGAATCTGGGTTCGGTCTCTTAGTCTTCAGCAAGGAAGTACTATCTTCCTGTCCAAAATTCTGACAGCTTAAACTCTTCACCACAGTAACCCTTCCCTCCCCCTTGAGATTCCTTTATAAATGAATTAGACGTAAATGAGGTAAATTTCTTCCAAATGAGAGGATAGGTAGAGTTCTTAATAGTCCTTATTCTTTTTCTCCTTCATTAAAAATAAAGCTTAGATCCCATTGTAGAAAATTGCCATGTAAGAAAGATTAGTGGACTAAGTAATATGCTTATTCCAAACAGCAAAACAGTGTTTAAAATATAAGGGACTTGGACTGATCTGGGAGGTTCGTGTTAAAAGTGGAATTTGGTTGAAAATTATAAGCTCCTGTAGTTCTTTGTGCTCCTAAAAGAATATTTATCTCATGCCTTTTGCTACCATGATTTTTTGTGACAAGTAAGCATTGCATTATAAGCATCACTTGATGGTCTTACAGTGCTTTGTACATAATAAGTAAGTCATCAGTTAATTTGCATATATGATTTTTTTAATCTGGAGGAATTTTGATTGTCCCATTAGCTCTCTTTGAAGAATGAGCCTGGCTGAGGAATTAAATTTGTGGCCTAGGACCATTGAATGCGATGATACCTAACACCCATCCGCTTTCTTCTACGTGTTGCAAGAACCTGTGCTTTCAGAAAGTCCTTTATACCCATTTAAACAGCCCTCAGTTTATGGGCCTCCCCGGTGGCGCAGCAGTTGAGCGCTGGGCTGCTGGGCTGCGAAGCTGTCCGCAGCCTATGCAGCGCCTGTTCGATTCCCAGCCACCGGCAAAGGTCCCACATGGCGCGCAGATCTCTCCTGCCGCCGCTGCTCCCCTCAGCAGTATATCATTGGTCTGCCTGTACTGTTTCCCACTCTGGCTCTGGTGAATTCTCTCACCCTCCCGCGCTTCTGACTGTACCCAGTGCTTGTATGTATGTATAAATAAATAATTTCTAAAAAAAAATGAATAAACAGCCCTCAGTTTAAATGGGTATATTGCCCAAAAATGGGATTTGGGGACTCTATCCCTGCCATGCGAAAATGTGAATTTTCCTATTGTCCTCTCCCAGGTTGGTGATGGCACCACCTCAGTGACACTACTGGCTGCAGAGTTTCTGAAGCAGGTGAAACCATATGTGGAGGAAGGTTTGCACCCACAGATCATCATTCGAGCTTTCCGTACTGCCACTCAGTTGGTATGGGAGTATTAACTAACTTTGCCTTGTGCCCAGGCACCTTGCTGTTTTCTCAGGATAAAACTTTAGTAGGGTGTAGAAGGACTGGGATTAGGGTTCTCTGGACATTTTCTGAATTCTACTTCCAAGGAATCTCAGTTATGACATTTAGTAGCTATCTGACTTAGATATATTGCTTAATGTTATTATGCCTCAGGTTTCCTGATAGGCTATCATATAGACATATCATAAGGCTCAGTTTGTGATTGCTGCTTTTGTTTTAATCAGGTACATCATGGCATATCTTGAGACCTTGCTTTTATTGACTTTCATTTTGTGACCTGGGGCAAGTCAATCCACCAGGCCTTACTTTCTCCCATCACTAACTCTGGGAGTGACGTTAAAATAACTGAGAAGTTCTTATGAAAAGACACAAAGTTGTATATAACATCTAATTAATGTGACACAATAATAATAATAAAGTGTTAGAAATTATCGGGTATTTTCCATAAGCCAGAAAGTTTGGCTAATCTAGTATGATAGCTTGTTTCTACTCATTTATTTTAGTGTATTACCTGCAGATCCAGAGCTAAATCCTGGCATACCCTGATGATTCTTCAGAACTGTACCTACACTACATTTCTAACTTTGGGAGTTTTCTAAAACTGTAGAGATTTATATTTTTCTGGGCACCTACAAGACTTAGGAAAGTCTTTTCAACTGTTATAGAATAGAAATGCTTAATATTTGGGAATAAACAGATTGGGGACTGGCAAAAGAGACTGAAATCTACTTCTGTTGTTTGTCTTCAGCATGAGAGATTCACTCAACTTTTGTTCTTGGCAGGCAGTTAACAAGATCAAAGAGATCGCCGTGACTGTGAAAAGGGCAGATAAAGTGTAAGTTGGTGGTGGTGGTGGGCTTTGTCAGAACATTGACTTTCTGTGGTTAACTTGGATGCAGTGTTTTGTGATTAGTGTATGGGGCTGGGGCTATATGGTTCTTTCTATGTGACTCAACTTAAAGCACAAAAGAGGCTGTAGACTGAATTTAAAAACTGTCTCTACATTGCAAGAGAATCAAACAACGGAGTCTTTCCAAGGCCTAATTCAGGTCCCACCACTCTGTCCCAGGGAGCAGAGAAAACTGCTAGAAAAGTGTGCCATGACTGCTCTGAGCTCCAAGCTGATCTCCCAGCAGAAAGCCTTCTTCGCTAAGATGGTGGTGGATGCAGTGATGATGCTTGATGATTTGCTGCAACTTAAAATGATTGGAATCAAGAAGGTACAAGGTGGAGCCCTAGAGGTAAGCCTGTGGTGGCCTCCCCAAAAGGCTCTGGCTTAAACCGTTGATATAGGAGAGCACACATAGTTGTAGAAAGAACTCACATTGGACTAGAAGTCAGACTTGAATTGTATTCTGCATATAGCCAATATTGGCTGTTACCGGAGATAAATTTTGTATCCTCTATGGACCAATATTTGTCAGCAGAATGGGAGACTGAACTAGCTGATTTTTCAGAATCACAGTGCTAAAGTGTAAGAGGGTAGACTGGCTTTGATAAATTATCTATGACCGTCTTGGTGAATAAATCTGAGAGGCACTTTTTAGTTCATTCTTCTCCAAGTGATATAGTCAACTTTTTTTTTTATTAATTTCTTTTGAATAGATAATGCATAGTTCAAACTTAAGAGTCTAAAGTAAAAAATAAAGGTCCCCTATACCACTCCTGCCCCTACAACCAATATTGTATGTGGGTGTTTCCCTTTCCAGAATTACTATGTGCATCTCTATATAAATAATTATTTCCTTAGACATAAATGATTGCTTGTGATACACCACATCCTATAACTTCTGTCCATTTACCAACATTTTAGGATTTGTTAACTCATTGCTACCCAAAAGGACTTTGTGTGATGGTGAGACTGTTAAATACATCTGTGCTGTCTATTGTGGTAGCCACTAGCCAGATGTGGCTACTGGGCACTTGAAATGCAGGTAGCTAATGAATTTGAAATTTAATTTTCATTTATTTAAATTTAAATGGCAGCACATGATTGGTAGCTACTGTATTACATTGCATAAGTGATTCTTTTTCAACAGTGGTATCAGTCTGAAAACATTCTTTGATATTGGAGTCTCTGTGTTACTTTTGACCTTTCCAACAGCTGACCAGCTGTATTTCTTACTGTATTCTTCCTTAACCTTTCTGTTCTTTCTCAGCCTGAAGTGATTTGGACAGGGCCAGGCCTGCTTAAAATATAGCCTGACCCTTACACTTTTTATTCTTTGACTTTCATCTTCCCAATTTGCATTCTCACTCATGACATTCTCCTGTCCTAGCACCTGTGGGTGGATTTGAGGCTCTCTATGTAGTAAAGTTGTGGGGAAGCTGGATGCATCTGAGCCACTTTCCTGTCCTTGAACCCCGTTATCAGTTTTAACTCCTTCTTTACATCATGGCTTGCTGATTTTGTCTTCACTCACTGCATGAAGTACTCTTGGTACTTGATTGGCATCCACTAAACTAGGGATCAGAACTAATAATCTTATCCAGTGAGAATGCAGGGGCCCTAAGCCCCTCTTATGTTTTCCTTAGACTGTCCCACATTCTTAGCGTGTAAAATCTATAACATAAAGCCTAACACACTACATTCAATAAATGTTAGGAGTAATTACTTACAGTTATCTTAGCACTGAGAACTTTCATTTATGTCTTTAGTCTTCACTTCTCCCTTGAGCCTCACACTCCTGTATCTAACTGCTACTGCCTTTATTATCTTGTTATCCAAACCTGTCAGCATTGTCTGTATTCCTTAGCATAATTGGTACCACAACTGTTAAGTCAAATTCAAATCCAAAATCTAGGATCATCCTGGAAAACCTTCTCAAGTCTCACAACTTGTCGATTACCATTATTGCACCTACCAGTTTACTGCTTATTTCTTCAGTCTGTATCTTTTGCTTATTCCCAAGATCTTTGTTTTGCCAATGATCATCCTTCTTTCAGCCTTGTGTAAGATTCTCCTAAACTGGTCCCTGCCTTCTACTTCATATTCCAGCAACTACAAGTGACTTTTCGTTTCCTGATTCCACCACACTGTCTGCCTCTTGAGAACGTTCCTGTCATCCTTATTTCTATATAATTAATTTCTGTTCCTCCATCTTGGCTCAGACATCATTCCCTTTAGAAGACTATGGTTTTGAGTGATGCAAGAATTTGTTCACCATTTGGCTGCAGTAGTATACATTAGAATTCTAGATTGGCATGGGCAGAAAACCTGTAGGCTATTGAACTGAATACCTTTCTTAATGGAATGGGAAATGACTTGGTCTCGTTAGTAAGAGAGAGACCTAAGATTTGAACCTAAGTCTCCTAATAGTGCTGAAGTCAGTCCCAAGTGTAACATTATGTCCCATAGGATACTCTGTTTTGGCACAAGCAAAGAAGTTCATGTTCTAAGGGATTGAGAAGTGAGCAAAATAAGTTTTATGCTATTTTTCCCTGCCTTTATGATAATTAAAGGCTTTGTTACAACAGTGAAATAATGACATGATTAACTTCCCTTCACAGGAATGAACACACAAGTCCAGCATATCATTTGTTAGCTTGATTTTGTTTCATGCTAGTACTAAACTTTGGAATATTTGGTTTTTTTTAACAGGAGTCCCAGCTGGTAGCTGGCGTCGCATTCAAGAAGACTTTCTCTTATGCTGGTTTTGAAATGCAACCCAAAAAGTACAATAATCCAACAATTGCGCTTTTAAATGTTGAGCTCGAGCTGAAAGCTGAGAAAGATAATGCTGAAGTTAGAGTCCACACAGTTGAGGTAGGCACCAACAGCTGGCAGTGGCATGGAAATGGAAAATTTTCTGGTCATTTTGGGCCCATCTGTTTCTTAAGCTCCTTATGGACCCCTTTCCCCTCCTATATCCCTGAATGTTAATGTCTAAATAGGGGCCTGCTGCTTTTCTCACTCTATGCTCTCCCTGAGTGACCTCAACCTGAGGAGATTTGGATAGGGCAGACCTGAAATACTATCCCCTGCCCCTTGGGATGGGGCTGGCATGGGCTCTCTAGCCATCCAGCTTACTCAGTATTTTGATTCTTCTTTGTTGGTCAGGTGTGGGGTCCTCCCCTTCCAAACTGGGTCTATGCTACAGAAAGAGTTGTTTCTGTCATTGAGATCATCAAGGCTATCATTAGAGGTAGTAGTATCACCCAGCTATGAGCTCTTAGGCAGTGTGTGCACAACACAGTATGGCCTTTGGAAAGGGGTCTTTCCTCTCATTGGGAACTTCATGGGTGAAGCACCCCAAGGGAGGCCAGAACTCATCCAGGCTAAACTATTTTTCATACCTCACTGTGTCAACTCTGAGTAGCTCCCAATTCTGGGATTACTTTTTGCATTTATGTCTAAAATTTTTAAGTGGTTCCCAAGTTAATTTTATGAGGGTCCTTTTTCACTTGGACTGAAGAGACATTATTCTGTGTACCCCTTTTCATTCCCAACTAAATCAACATACTTTGTTTTGGGCTTATTTTTTAGCCATCATATATGCTGCCCCCTACCATACCTTTTCTGGGTCTCTTTAGGACTATCAGGCAATTGTCGATGCTGAGTGGAACATTCTGTATAACAAGTTAGAGAAGATCCATCTTTCTGGAGCCAAAGTCGTCTTATCCAAACTCCCCATTGGGGACGTAGCTACCCAGTACTTTGCTGACAGGGACATGTTCTGTGCTGGCCGAGTACCGGAGGAGGATCTGAAGAGGACAATGATGGTAACCAAACTTTGAGAGACTACTTCTTGGCCTCAGGGCCCTGGATAGGTTTTCATTTATGCCTGGTATGCTGACATTTCAACACTGTCCAGTTGAAATGTCAGTCCAACCCTGTCATTTTAACTTTCAGTGAATCATTGCACAGTATACATGTGCTTGGTATACAGACTGCTGTAAAGCTACTCTAACCAGAACAGGTCAGGAAACAAATCGGGTTTGTGAGGGAACTTAGTGGTAATGCTGAAACAGCTAAGCAGGCTCAGTGATTGGTGCTTCCAGCCAGATTTCCTCCATTCTTGTGCATCTTACAAGAGACACTTTTAGTTCTAAAGCACTGATCCTCAGTCAATTTGCTTCACCCAAAGTGCCCTAGTTTGGAAGAGAGTGTGTTGGGTGAAGCTAAGTCTCCTATCTCCTTTTAACTGGGCCTATTTGCCTGTCATGTCTTAGCTCTGTTTTGTTCTGCCCTTCTAGAGGGAATAAGAATCACCTACTGGTCAAGGGAACAAGTGGATTTCCTAGTGCAGAGGGCTCTGGGGCAGAGTACAACATGGGAATTGATTTTGAGACTACGTGTCAGGAAGCTGACATCTAGCCTTATGTGAGCCTTCACTGCTGGATCATCTTGCCTTGTACTCTTCAGGCCTGCGGAGGCTCAATCCAGACCAGTGTGAATTCTCTGTCAGCAGATGTGCTGGGTCGCTGCCAGGTCTTTGAAGAGACACAGATTGGAGGCGAGAGGTGAGCCACTGACCTGGGCAACCTTTTGACTGGACTTGAGATCTGAGTCCTGGGTCTGGCCTTTTTCCATCTGTTGAGCATGATCATTTATACCTCATGGTACTCTTTTTCTTGAGCTCTCACCTTTTGGGACATAAAGAACTCAGATACGGAGTGTTCAGGAGTGAAGATCTAGTTGGGTCTAAAGTCTGATTCCACAACTCTTTATGCCTTGTGGTACAGCCCCAGAACTTCCCAAGAACATGTTTTCAAGTGTGGGGTTGGAGCAACTTAGTGAGGAACAGAAGAACAGCTGCTGAGAACTTGGTAGTGAGATCAGAACGCAGGAGGTTGGTTAACAGAAAGGAGCTGACGTGTATGATTTGACCCTGGATGTAGGTACAATTTCTTCACTGGCTGTCCCAAGGCCAAGACTTGCACCATCATCCTCCGCGGTGGCGCTGAGCAATTTATGGAGGAGACAGAGCGGTCCTTGCATGATGCCATCATGATTGTCAGGAGGGCCATCAAGGTACTGGGCTGGTATCTCCCTGCTTACACAGGCCACTCTGCCTCCCAAACTGACAAGACCCTAGTGTGTTCCTTCCTTCCCTGTATAACCTGTCCTGGGTAGTAGACTGGTCTTCATGTGCCTAACAAATCAGAGGAAGTGAGCCTCAGTCTCATAATAATAGGTCATGGTGCCTTAAAGGCTAAGACCTATCTTTGTGGATTAGTCACTCAAGGGTTGTGCCATTGCCCTCAAGCACCTGGCCTTCAGGTGATCTTGAAGATGATCAGAAACCATATGTTCAGTGGGTTGAAGTTGGAATGTGCTAGGCAAGGGCCATACCAGGACTCCTGGGAATTAGGCTGGGAGGAAGGAATGCAAAACCACTCTCTCTGGGCTAGAGGACCTACTGACTGAGCAGCCCCACTTGACTGTGACTGGAGCTTGAATCAGGAGGATCTGCTTGCATTGAGATGTGGGTCTGGTCTCTGCAGAATGATTCAGTGGTGGCTGGTGGCGGGGCCATTGAGATGGAGCTCTCTAAGTACCTGCGGGATTATTCAAGGACCATTCCAGGAAAGCAGCAGCTATTGATTGGGGCTTATGCCAAAGCCTTGGAAATTATCCCACGCCAGCTGTGTGACAATGCTGGCTTTGATGCCACCAATATCCTCAACAAGCTGAGAGCTCGGCATGCCCAGGTGAGTCATTTCTCCAGGGTTCGGGGATGATTGGATGAGGCTAGATCTGAATGTGTGGTGGCATGTACTGTGCTTGCTCAAACTCTGCATGTTCAGCCCAGTTGACACCAACTATTGATAACTGACTCCTCTGAGGGCAGGGGAACCAGACGAACCCTGCTGACATGCAGTCCTACCATGGCTCTACCAACTCCAACTTGTGACGTCCAACTTAAAATTATTTGTTTATTGGTTTTAGCAAATGTTTATTTGGAGATTTAAGTACTTAACACTGTAGCACTCAGTGGCCTTGCTTCTGATTTGTGCCAGGATTTTAAGCAAGTCACTCTAGTTCTTTCTCAGTTTTCTCATCAGTAAAATGGTGATTAATTGAAGCAGTGAGAGGATAAATGAAATAAGGGATTGGAAAGTGTTCTCCTTGAGAACCATAGTTTGAGCTCCGCAGTCCTCGGTACACAGCAGCTTATCTGGGAGCTCTAGCATGATCGGCATTCCCAGTGTCTGAAGGGTGTGGTGAGCAGGGGCAGAGATGGGAATAGAAGCACTTCCAGGTTCCTGATAGACTCCTGTAGACATATGCTGTCTTTCTCAGAGACATCAGCAGGTTCAGAGAGTCAGGGGGTTCCTAACAAATCTGAGTCTTTGCAAGGTATGCGAGAAGAAATTTGAGGGCAGTTCTATATTACCTCCTCTTTTCCTGCTCTTTTAGGGGGGCAAGTGGTATGGGGTGGACATCAACAATGAGGACATTGCTGACAACTTTGAGGCCTTCGTGTGGGAACCAGCTATGGTGCGGATCAATGCCCTGACTGCAGCCTCTGAGGCCGCATGCCTTATCGTGTCAGTAGATGAAACCATCAAGAACCCTCGCTCGACAGTGGATGCTCCCCCAGCTGCTGGTCGTGGGCGAGGTCGTGGCCGGCCCCATTGAGAAGCACCTCACTCCTCACCTGAGTGGCTGGCAGGCTGGCTGTAGGGTGCACTACTCTCCTGTCTTGGGTCGTTGCTTTTACAGGGTGGCGCAATCTGTTCTCACTGAAGTTTATTTAAATAAAACTTGAGACTTACAATCCCCTTTGCAAGTTATTCGGGCTTGTTAGTGTTACTCATAAACATCTTGACTGCAGCTTGGAATTTTAGCTTTATATATACTCACCCAACAAGTAGAAAAGACTCTTCCCTTCTGTTGGAGTAAGTTCTCAATAGCCTGTGGTTCTTAGGGCAGAGTGGGTTTACTCTGTCACTGGGGTGCTCCACCTGCGTGGCCTTGTTGAGACGTTTCATTTTGGTTGTTTTCTTAGCCCCAGAAGTTGCTGGGAGATGCACAGGTGCTTCCTTCTAACATGATTTTCTTTAGTCCTGTCCTTGCCAGGCACTGCCACCAGGGTTACTTTCTGGGTTTGTGTAAATGTGTTACATTGCCTTGTCTGCATTTTCTTGGCTGAATCTTTTGATCCCTGTTACTTAAGACCTTGAGATTAAGTAGGCTATCTTGAAAGAATGTTTTAGAGGGGTACATCCCCTCGCAACTCTGGCTTCTTAGAAGGTGGCTGAAAGAATAAAGCACCTGGTCTTCAGTTCAACCACTGATGGCCTTGGGGGGGGTCCCTTTCACTTTTTCTAACCAGTGGAAGTATGGAATGACCAGCACAAAGAAACTGGTAATCAACAGGGTCTCAAGTGCCTCCTTGTTTACACTAGTCCTATGCTCATCTGCAGCTTTGTAATTAGTAATGTTTGGAGCTAGAAATTTAAAAAAAAAAAAAATCATCTTGAGGCCCTGCAACTTTTTTCACTACCTGAAACTGGGACATGATTTTTTAAAAATCTCTTGAATCTGACCAGTCCTGGTGATAGACCCAAAAGCAGGCTGGGTGGTATCCTCATAACTTGATGGTCTTTGGGCAAACTAATCGTTTCAGCTATTTTATCAGTATGCCAAAGGTAAGAACATCTGGCTCAGAGTTTTGGAGATAAATGCGCATTCTACTTATTTGATGCTAGAGGCACACTTAGTTGAAATACCTGTCCTTTTTCTGAAGACCTATTAAATCTGTGGGGCAACCCCATTTTGTAAAATGGGGAAGTTGAGGTCACACCATGATCGGCAATTTTGTCTCCGTGCCAAAACCTGATTAGCTGGCTTAGAGCCTCTTGGGGAGATCAAGCCTGTGAGGACCCAGGTGGTACCTGTTGCTCTTGTGCCAGGTTTGCCCTTTAAGAGGGCTTCTCCCAGCTGACAGTAAAAAATACAACTAAGGCTTTTTGTCCTTGGCAGATACTGCCAGGGTGAACTGTGGCTGGGGCAGCAAACTGGATGCCTTTCTCCAAAGATGTCTGTAGTCCTAAGACAAATCTTCCTAATACTTCATTCACCCCATTGATGCCTACAGGATCATCTACTTCTTGCCTCAGTGCAATGTAGCTGCAGAAAGACTTGGTGACACAGACTGACAAATAAACCTAATATTTACTCCCCCAAGGCAGATATTCCAGTTTCACCATCTTTTATTGGATACAGAGTCGTAAATTCTCCGATGCCCCTGGATCTTTTTAAATACATACACTTGGGTACATTCAGCAAAGGGCATCTATGGGTGACACGAAGCAAAGTGCTGGGATGGTGATGCCTGGGTGGGGCAGAGAAGTGGGGCCAGGGAAGGCCCCCTGGGGGCTGGAGGTACAGGCACCACTTTAGAAACAAAACCAAAAAATGCTCTCCACCCCTCTGCCTGATGTGCTTGGGGTGAGGGAAACTACCTTCTCACAACTCAGGCCCATTGCAGCCTGGCTATGCAGGGAAGGCAGGGCCTGAAGGCCAGTTGTGCAGGTTCCCCACCAGCAGTGCCTACTAGAGCCAAGCCAACTGGCAGCAACCACGAGGCAAGCCTAAGACACCTCAGTCCTCTGCACCTGGATGCAACACCCCTACTAGTGCAGAGCAGAGGCTAGGGAACCCAAGGCCAAGCTTCCCTGGGGTCGTGCCAATGGAGGCAAGGGAGGCTGGGGCTTGGAGGGGGGAAGCCTGCCTGATTGTCAGGGCAGTCTTGGGACTGGCCAGGGTCCCAAGGGGTTAGGGAAGGCATAGGAGCTGTTGCCTTAGTTGGCCCTGGTGTTCTGATCTTCACCCAGTCCTAAACCTTATCCTTAGGCAAGGGCTGCAGATCAACACACTTGTCCAGGAATAAATACATACACACGATACACAGCAATATATACAGAAACGCAGGCCTAGGACAAGGCTGGGTGAGGAAGCATGGTCACCAAGGACAAACAGAAGTGCCAGGCCCCTTGGGAAGGGAAGTTATACTCCTCAGGGACCGACTGGGACAGAGCTCATGAGTTTGAGTTAACTCCTCTGTGCACCACTCATCATCTCCTGTTTTTAACCCCAAGTCCTCCTGGAACTGGGTCTTTGGCACCAGTAGTCACGCAGGGAAGATCTTCAACTTAGCCCCTAAGAGGGAGTGGGGCCTGGGTGGCTCCCCATCCACCCATGGTTCAGAGGACTAGAGACCAGGGCCAGGGGAACAGGCAGGACCCAAAGGCAAAGGACAGAGCCAAACCTTGGAGCAGCAGGCCTTGGGAAGAAGGAGGTTGGTTTTTTTCTTTTTTGGGGGAAGCAATTCACGAGGGGCTGGTTCAATCTCCACTCTCATGGGACTAGGAAAAGTTGAGCTGCTTTGGTCCCTAGGTGGTCATCCCTGGCCAGTGAAAAGCCATGGCTCTGAATAGCCTACTTCCTCTCCCTTCAGGGACCCAGATATATAGAGTATCTCCTTTGTTTCCTGCCAGTGCTGCAGGGAGGAAGTCCGAGCAACACACGAAGCACACAGGCCAAATATGCCAAGCCTTCTGGGTGTTGAGGTCTGTCTGGATAGAGTGGGAGGTGGTAGGAATACGCAGTGATCACCACCCATGGGCCCTCTACACATGCCTGGGATTCCTGCCAGGACCTGCCATGGTTTACTTTTGATATTCTTTGCAACTTACTAGGTGTGAGGAGGGCTCTCCTTTGCGTGAGTGAAGGATGAGGTAGCTCCAGAGGTGGCCAGGCCCTCCATCCCTGTTCCCCTCTCCTCAGCCCTAGGTGTATGATTGCCAAAGGAGTGAACAAAAGGAGCATCCCAAAAAACAAAAGCTCCCCCTTCAGCAGCAGGGCTCATCCTCCTAAAGAGAAGCAAAAGGATAGCACTGAGTTGGATGGGAGGCCTGCAAATCTGCAGTTCTCAGGGCATGCAGGAATGTCAGGGCATGCAAATCTGTCCGCCTCAGGCACATATATAAGATGCACTCCCACACATCCTTCATAACACTCAGTTGGAAAACTGGGGAAGGAGGATCTTGGTGAGTTTCCTGGAAACAGCCAAATCCATGAAAGGTAAACTTCCCACCAGCAGGAGGGGATTCTTGTTCACTCTTCTGCCCCTCATACTGGTAGTACTCAAAGCTGATGCATGAATGAGTGAATGAATGAAGGAACCTACTAGCATCAGTCCTCATCACCACCTCTCCCACTCTAGCTCACCTTTCCCAGGCTGGTGCCAGAGATTCCAGTGAGCTCAGGGCTGCACTTGAGCACCCACCCAAGGAGAAATTCCATACCCTTGTATTCAGGGATAGAGGCTTCCAGGAGCAAAAAACCATCCCTCAGTAGGGCAGGGTCAGGCCAAGCAGGGCATCCCTTTGTGCTTAGTCCAGGAGACAGGGAGGGCAGCACCTCTGGTCCTAGAGACACATGGAGCAGGGGCTATAGAGGGCCAGGTGGCAGGGTAAGACTGATATGCCCAGATCAATCAGACCCTGCATAAGCCTCCACGTCCCTTCCAGGTCCCTGGAGGACAGAGAAAAGTTGTGCTTCTCCTTCCCATGACTCTTGGGGACTGGTCTGGGGATGGGAAGCCAATGGAGCCAGCTGCTCCAAAGCAGGGAATAGGAGGTGCCACATAGCCAAGGCTTCGTGCAGGACTAGACAAAGAGTTGCCAACATGACACCCTTGGTATTTGGGGTCTCAGAAGGGAAGGCTCGAAGAAGCCTGGGAGGAAAAGTCAACAACAATGAAAAGAGCTGGGATAGAGCTGGATGTGCAGCCAAGGGAGGTGGGTGCGCTGCTGTACCAGCTAATCCAGGGTTAGGTCTTGATGTTCAAACCAGGTTGTGGCAGAAAGTAGGGTCCCTGGTAAAGACTGAGAAACTAGAGAACCCCAGCCAGGACCAGCAGCCCACTGGTTAGGGTTAAAAGCTGCTCCTCTATAGAAAAAAAAAAACCCTAAGGTGGATCTAGGTTCATATTTGAAAGAACTTTCCAAATGCAGGTTGGCAGAATCTACCGTGGAAGCTAAGAGGAGCAACTGGGGAAACCTGAGTCTTTGGAGCCTTTGTGCCAGAACCTGGTCCTTTGGGAACCATACAAGGGTCAGTGACACCCCCCCACACACACACATACACCTTGTAGTCCCTAAAGCATATCTTAGAAGATATGTTCCCTTCTAAGCCAGGTGGCTCTGGCTCAGACCTAGCACTGCCCCTAGGCTGAAGATACCCAATCCAGCCCTCAGCACACGGGGCCGGTGGAGACTGAGAAGGGGGCAAGACTGGCTAGGATTCTGTAGGTCTGGCCACATCTTCAAGCAAACCAGTCAGAAAAGGAAGCAACCGAACCGCCCTCCTAGCCTCCTCCAAGGCAGCCCAGTGACACTCCCACACAGCCTTGGAGACCCAAAGACCATCAGATTCCCAAGCACCTGGATTAGAAGGACATTCCTTGAGGACAGGAACTGCTTCTCACTGCTGACAGCATTTTCCAAGGCCCTTTTACCTTGCCCCTCCAGAGGCTCAGGATTGGTGGTAGGTATAGAAACATGCACCTTTTAGCTCTGGGGTATTGTGGGGGTATGTGGAGGAGGAATCTTGTCTTTTCTACAGAAGTAAAAACTAAGTCTTTTCTACCTGGGAATTCCCTCCCCTTGAGAGAGGTGGTCTCAATACCCTGGGAACAAGTTCTAGATGAATCTTTTGCCCTTCCACGCCCACTCCCATTATCTCACCACCCCAGCCCCTTCTTTCTTCTGACCACATGTCCGGGCACCTAGGCCTGTCTGTGTTATCCCTGGAGAATACGGACCCAGAGCCCAGGAGGACCATCTGAAAGGCGTGCCCCACAGAAGGCTAGGAGAGGGCACTGGGAAGAAAAGGCTCCTCTTTGCCAAGTCTGAGCTGCCTTGTGGAGACCCTTTGGCAGGGGTCCAGCAGAGGCCCCTGACCAGGAAGCTGGGCCTCAGGAAGGGGGGCTTGCCTGAGCAGCCAAGGAACCGCTGGATGGTTATTGCAGATCCTCAGGGTGGTGACACCAGGTGCTGGTGGTGACTTAGCTCCTCACTGGCTGTGCCCAGAAGGCTGCTTCAGCTGGGGTATGGTGGGGGTCGGAGGGCAACCTTTGTCTGAGCCTCTGCTCTGGGAGAGGCAGTTCAGGCCTGTTGCTCCACTGTCCCAAGAGGAGACCAGGAAACCATCCACCCCACCCACCCCCGCACCCCTCTAGAGGCCAGGGATAACACTAGACCTCTGAAGGTCTAGTTCAAATCAGAGTTCCTCTGGAGGTACAAAGAGAGTGCCCTAGTGTGGGGCTGGCAGGAGCCCTGCCGCCCCCAACCCGGGTTAGCAGCCGCCTTCCACCTTGATGTGCAGGATCTTAGAGAAACCGGGCCTCCTTCGTAGGGCCTGCAGAGACCAAACCCTGGGTTAGTTCCCCTTCAGAGCCAGACAGGTGGGGCCCTCCCATCACATACCCAGATCTCCAGCCCCAGCCTAGGGTGGTCTCCTTACCTGGAGTTTTGTCACCATGTCCTCAAACAACTTCTGGGCCTCAGGACTGCTGGGCTCTTTAAAATAATCGGCAATCCCAATCTGGACCACGATGGACTTGAGATTCCGGCAAATGCCTGGAAAAAGGTGGGTAAGGTGGGGGTCAGTGTTTGGCCTGGGCAAATGGGGCTGCCTCCTCTCCTGTCACTAATTTAATGGTATATACCCCTATAGAGAGACAGTCATGAGCCAGTCACTGCAAATATAAAGAGGAGAGCAGATCCGTGCCACTCAGTATGAGTAGAAAATGACTCTAGGGGACTCTAGGGGTTTCTCTGGCAGAGTGGACAGTTGTGCTATGGCCTGGGCATTTGGAAATGAATTACAAGGACAAGGTTGCTGAGGAGAGGCTGATGAGTCTTGGCTGAAGCAGAGGAGGAGGGAGAGAGAAAGCAAACGTGTTGAGTACAGAGGGACTTGCTGCTGCCGTGAAGTCAGCGGAGGAGAAGCAAGGTGAGAAGGCTGAGAGATCCTAGAGATCATGATTTCAGAGACTGAACAGTTGGTTCTAGGGGTCAGGTTCAAAGCAGGGTCATGGGGCCAAAGGGAAGGGAAAAGGATCCTGGAGATAATAAGGTCAAGGAATCTTCGGTACTCAGAGTATGGGGTCCTCCCAGGGGCCGAATGATCCTTGTTGACTGTTTCATTTGGGTGCAAGCAGCCCAACCTGGGCATCTGTGTCCTCAGTGGAGGTGGAGAAATGACTGGAAGTGCAGGGGGTAGCTGCAGGGTAATAAGAGCCAGAGGAGGTATGATTTGGAGCCTACACCAGGGAGAAAGGAGTCTGCACATGGAGAATTTTCCTCGGGGACTCACACATTGTCTCACTTAATCCTCCCACAAGTTGACCTTGTAAGAAAGTCAAATTACAAGACAGATACAGAATTCAGAAGTATAGTGACTTGTCCAGTGTTACATAGATAATAATCAGTAAAGCCAGAACTGAGCCCTAGGTCATTCCAGCTCTAGAATCTATGCTCTTAGCAGCTCTGCCTCTGCCTTTGGCCAGAGGCTCACAGGTATGTGTGTGCAGCATGGCATATAGTATCCCCAACTCATGTCTCCAATGTGGCAGAAGCACAGGGCAATACATGTCTGTGAAACCAAATTATTTGGATCAGATGTTGGCAGGCTTGGAATGGCACACAGGCCTCCAAAGGCACTGATGGCAATGCCAGGACTAGAACCCTGGTTAGTCTGGTGCTCGCTCCCTGGTGCAGCAGGGAGTTTAGTTAAGCTACTTGCTGACAAGATATAGTAAAAGGGGACAGTTGTACCCTGCCCTGTATTCCCCCATTGCTCACTGTTGAAATGCAGCAGGGCTTTAGGGGTAACGGGGGTGGCTGTGAGCACCAGCATTTCCAGTCCCTTCAGGCCTTCGCGGCAGACCTCAGCTGCCACCTCCTGGGTGATCTCTGACACATGGTCTAGCTCCAGGACCTGCAGCCGCATGCAGTTTCTTGCTAGAAAGAGGGAAAAAGGGGATAATTCTGCTGACAAACTCTCCAGTCACCTGCTGCCTAGCATTTGGTGCTCCTGCCCCCTCCCAGGCTGCGCCCCCAAGTCCCACTGGTTATCATAGTGCAGTGTTGCAGCCATGCCTACTCCTTACCAACCCCTACTCCAATCCCAAGCAAAGACTCACCAAGGGATGCCAGGCCCTGCACCCCACAGCCAGCGCCCCCAACCCCCAGGGCCCGGAGATGGGGCCAACAGCGACCAATCATCTGCAGGCAGCGGTTACTGAAGCGCGTGGGCTGCTGGCTGGAGAACAGGGTAGAAGGAGGCTGTCAGGGAAGCTTCTGGCTGCTGACCCCAAGTGTGCTCCCACCAACCACCCAGCTGCTTAAGTCAGAAACCCGGCATCACCCCTGATGATTCCTTCCTCATCTCCTACCAAAACCAGCAGATTCTGATTCCTGAGTAATTCTTCAACCCACAGTTCAGACCACCATCTATATTCATCTACTTTATAACTAGTCTCCCTGCCAATTCATTCTCTATACTGCTGACATTGAGTCATTCATTCATACTTTCTCTCACTCAGTCATTCAACAAATGGTACGCAAGTGCCTATTAGAACCAAAAACAACTGAGCTAGTTGGAGATAAAGGGGACAGTATAGACAGTATTGATACATGGTACTCAAGAAGTGGAGTCTGGCCATGGGGCACAGAGCATTACCGGTTGGATTTAATCCCTTTTTAAGATCTAAACCCCCCCCCCAATGTTTCCTCAGTATTTTCTAGATAAAATGCAAAAATCTAAACGCCTTAGAAAAGACCTTCTTGATCTTGCCCCATCTTCCTTTTCACACCAAACAGTTGCTCAGCCAAACCTGCTGTTTCCCTCAACACTGATCCCTCAACCCTCGCCCAGGTGACAGGCATCTCCCTGGTGTCATGCACTTGGTACCAGGGATACAGAAACAGACATTCCCAGCGTTGGCAGTATGAATTGTGAGTTCGGCATAGAATGAAATACAGATATGACTGTAGAGTGGACTACAGCAGGGATCGGGGAAGGTGTAATAGGAAAGGAGGCAGGGGAGCAGTGACTGCATCTACTGGGGATTGTTAGTAAAGGGACACTGGGTGACCTGGGAGGAGCTGCCATATAGAGGGCAAGAAAGACTGGCATCTTTGACCAACTGTAACTACAGCGATGAACAATTTCAGAGTCTGAATTTTCCACCAGCTCTTGTATACACTGACCTCCCTGAACTACCCTTTCATATGCCAAGTTAAACCTGAACATTAGCATTCCTAGCTAGTGTTAACTGAACATTGACTGGGACCTTACAGGCTTTTTGTATATATCTCATTCGTGCCAGCAATAGTCCTAAAGGTGGACAGATTCCTAATATTACCTTCATTTTGCAGGTCGGAAAATTAAGCTCTGACTGAGTTGCCTAAAGTCACACTGCTAGCAAGCCAGGGCATGCCCCAGCTCTGATTATCAAGTCCTGCTCCTAATGCCCAAACACACAGATCGATGAAAGTGAATCTATGTCTCCAACCAAATTAGGGGGTGCGCCCAGATCTGTTCCCAGTCCCAGACTCCATCCACCCCGATCCACTCCCGACCCCTTCCAGGGCTCACCAAGGGTGCAGTGGTGCCACTTGGAGGGAGACGATCTCTCTGCAGCCAGCACCCAGGGCCCAAATGACTTCGTGGCCCACGGGGTCCGTGGCACTTCTGTTAAAAAGACAAAGCTGGGGCCACCCACCCTGGTGGCCTCTGCTCTCTTCTCTCAGAGCTCTTGAGTCCCGAGGCTTGAAAGCCCTGAGGGAAGGGTATGCAGAGGCCCGGGGTCCCTGGCCTGAGACCAAGGGGGTACGGGCTTTGTCTCTGGAGGGGTGAACCCACCTGTAGGTGACAGCCTGCAGGGCACGGCAGTAGCAGCTGGCCAGCCAGAGCGAACGGTCAGTGAGGATGTTGGGACAATGGGAGATGCGCAGGATCAGCAGATTCCCCCCTGCTGCCTTCAGCAGGGACTCCAGCCCTGCTTCCAGGCAGCCCCTGGGGATGGCCAAAGGGTCCAGTTGCTGCTTGGAAACACCACCTCCTCCGAGAAGCCTCTCCGTATAATTTGGGGTCTGTGGTTCAGGAGCACCCAACCTCCCAACCCCTCACCATGAGCCTCACCTGGTGCTCCGGGCATATTCCTCCTTGCTCTCCTTCTTGCCCCTCTGCCGGGGCTTCAGGTTCTGCAGTGTCAGTGAGTGGGCCTGGGTGCACCACTGAGCCAGCATGGCCAGGAACTGCAGGGAGAGAGAGGTTTCCAGGGATGAAAGGATCTGAGCATAGGCTGACTGGAGGTGGACCAGCCCCAGGAGAGCATTTCAGGGAGCCAGGCTGGAGTTAGGGTGTTGTAAGGGTTGCAACGACCAGGTCTTGAGGGACCAGACTCTGCCAGGGGGAAAGGTGGGTTCACAGCAGGGCTGAGTGGAAGGGCAAGAGTGGCGGGCAAGGACAGGCACCTTGGAACAGACGCGGGCATTCTCGAGCAGCACCCGTGTCCAGACGGCGGGATGGCGGGCCACGAAGCGCCAGTCCCGGCAGACCTCGGCAGCATGCAGTAGTGTGCGTGTGTCCAGGTAGGTGAAGATGCAGAACAGGGCGGCCCGCATCTTGAGGATCTCTGGGCTGATGACCTCGTTGGAGCGTGAGGGGCTGCCCCTCTCTGCTCGCCGACCCCGCCCACTGCCTCCCTCAGGGCGGGCTGCACAATACCAGAGGGTCAAAGGTGAGTGTGGAAGGTCAAAGGCCAGTGTGAAGATGCGGGTGGGGAGCTGGGGTAGGGTAGGAACTTCAGGAGGAATGGGCGTGAGAGACCATGCTGGGGGCCCAAGGACTTGGGAGGATGGACAAGTTTCCTCTGCTTCCCCTCTTCTGCATCACCCCATCCCTAATTTCGCAAACTAGAAAAAGGTGGCCTTTCCTTAAGTAAACTTTCTCTTTAAGGTCATAGGTCATCACATAGTCCAACTCACCCCCTGGATGAGGCAGCTGAGTCAAGTTTGGAGAAGGAAAGTGTTTGGAGGACTAGGGTATGGTTGAATAGAAAGCAGGCCTCTGTGAACAGAAGGCAGGTGAGAGGCTGCCAGAGTCATCACCTATCAATGAGCCCACCTATATGAGTGGACCCCTGGGTTGTGACATCCTTGTGCAGTACCCAACCTCAGCACCTGTGCTGCAGCACTACCTGTCACATGACTCCTCGCCCCAGGCTCGAAGGGCACTGTGTGGGAGGGACTTTGTCACTCTCCTGGTGGGAAGTCTGGGGCAAAGGGAAAGGCAGTGCAGGAGTCCAGGAGATTTGTTACCTCAGCCCTGTGTCCCCCAGAGAGGGCCCAGGACCATGGGAAAGACTGACCTTTGTGCTCACCCTCCCAGGACTCACCTGAGAGCCGGCAGCTACTCAATGGCCCAGACATAGCAGGCCCAGGGCGGGGAGCATCTGAGGGACCCTCAGCCTCTGACTCCGTGGTTCTGGAGCCCACATCTGAGACATCGCCCTCCTCTCCCTCCGTGCTGTGCCGGCGGGGTCTGCGCTGCCAGTTTTGAATGGCCTGGCGCCGCAGGCCTGAGCTTCGAGGGGGCTGGGCTCGCTCCGAGCCACCGTTGGCCACCTGGGCCCGTGTGCCCAAGCCCCCAGGGCCACTGTCCTCTGGGGGGCCCTCTTCTGGCCGGGGCAGCTCCAGACTGTCACTGTCATAGCAGCCTGAACTCTGGGATGCAGCTGGGACGCGGCTGGAAGCCCTGGGGTAGGGTGGACCAGTTGGTGAGGGGCGGGGCACCAGGCTGACCAGAACTTCCCAAGCCACCCTCCCACCAGACAAGGGCACCCAACCACCCTACTTTCTAAGTGCCCCCTCTGAGTGTGGAAAGGCAGATAGAGGAGACCCAGAAAGGATGGGGGTGGGGAAAGGAGGAACCATGCCCCCAGATGGGCCAGCCATCCAATACAGTGGATCTTTCCAGGGTAAGGGTGGGCTTCGGGGGGTGGGCCAGGCCCAAGGCTTACCCTGTGCTGGGAGAGGAGCCATGCCGTGACACCGCGTATGTGCTAGGCATGGCCGAGCCTGCGTGGTGTTCTCGCTGTGGGCCCCCAGAGCAGGAGGGAAGGGAAGGGGGGGCAGAGGAATCAAGAGGATGAGAAGAAGAAACGGCATAAAATGGAGAAGAGAGGAGGGAAAAGAGAGAAGAAGGAAAAAAGTTGGGAAAGATGGACAAATAGACAGACAGACAGCCCAGAGAGGTAGGCTCACCAGCCTCCTCCCCATATCCACCCAACACCTCAGACCCTGGCTCATGGCTATCATTTGCAGGGATGGCAGGGATTGCCCTGAAGACTGTGACCACTGGAACACATCTCATGACAGCCTCAGGGGCTGACATTCTGACCAATCAGAGGAGCTCCCTGTTTCTGAACCCCTTTTTCATGCCTGGATCTGCTTATGGAGACGAGTCAAAGAAGGGCAGCATGGAACATTACGGTGGGGGTTGACGTCAGGTTATGTGTGAAAGGGGGCCATGGGCGGACAAGTGGACAGGTAGAGAAGGGAAGGCAGGTGGGCACTCACCATTCTGCCTGGGCCCCGGGCCCCAGGTCCAGCACCACCGCCCCCCCCTCCACGGCCCAGGCTGGCGCTCGGTGTGCTGCCACAGCTGCTGCTGATGACCTGAAGCTGCCGTTCAGCCCGGTCGGCCCGCTCCAGGAGCTCCTCGATGAACTGCTGCAGCCGCAACTTGGCGCTGGCCTCCCGTGCCGCAGTCTCCTTCAGGAACTGGTCAATCTGCACCACCTCCCTGGGCCCGGAGCAGTCTCTTACCCCAGTGCCCCGGCCCATCTGCCCACTCACCCTCTGGAGAAGACCCACACCAGTGGGGCAATAGGTGGGCACAGATGTCTATGGCATCTGTTCATGGGAACATGCAGCATAGGCCCAGGCACACTGCCCCAAACATGGGACCCACAGAAAAGCAAGCATACACACTAAACTAAACACACCTCACCACGCAGTCCAAACACACAACTAGACATCCTGTGCCCTAGATAAATACTCAGAAGTGTCACACAGCCACACGGAGGTATATACACACACAGCTACCACCTCCCTCCAGAAACATGGGCATACATAACCACTCAGCCATGTACACATAGCCCAATACACAGCCACATGTGCTCAAGACATGGACTGATATCATGTTCTTCTCAGGCACATGCTCAAGTCTGAGACAGGCACGGTCCTCCAACATATTCAAACATTCACATGCACAAACTTTCAGAAACATTCTCAGATACAGAAGCATACCTACTGTTGCACCAACCTCAGGAGTTTCATATTTACACAGCACACTTAGGACTCACACATTTACTCCCAAATGCACACAATTGTTCATGCAACCATTCAATCTCTATTGAGCACCTTCTAAGTGCGACACTTGCTCTAGGTATTTGGGATATAGCAGTGGACCAAGCACAGAAAAATTCTTGCCCCCATGAAGCTTGTATTACAATAAGGACAGATAGATAACATGTATATATTTCACAATTCTATATTTGAAAATCAGAGAAATAGAAACTAGGCAAGAAAACTAAGGACAGACAAAAAAAGATAGAAGGAAATCCAGGGGGAGTGTCCTGGAAGCCAAGTGAAGTGCATGCTTCAAGGACCAGCTTGTCCATGTAAGATGGTTTACTTGGCCTTGGCAACAGGAAGGTCATGGAGGACATGGAGGGCAGTGCTGGTGACACCTGATCAGAGTGGGTTCAAGAGAGAAAGTGGGAAAAGAAACTGGAGACAAGAAGTATAAACAATACTTTCAAGGAGTTTTTCTGTAGGGATGAGAGAAAAGGGGCAGTGGTTTAAGGGGGAGAGAGGGTGACGGCAGATGGCAGAAAAGAAGTGTTTGTATACTTTTATGGGGACGATGATACAGTAGATAGATAAAATCTGATGATTGCAAAGGGAAAGGGGAGAATTGAATCATATCTTTGAGTAGCCAAAAGAAAAAAGATTCGGTGCTTTAATGCAGGAACTAGACTTGGTTAGGAGGACAGAGAAGGAAAAGAGTTCACAGATCATTCCTTCTGTCATGGGACTGACGGTCGGCTACATACTTCCTCATGACACTCTTGGCCCCACACATTGCCCCATCAGACCATGACATGCTCGCATATGAAACCCCGTATTACAAAGCCATGGCCACACACACAGACACTCACTGTCACACTCAGGTACACTTACCATGGTGGTGGTAATGGCACAATGACACACACGATCATCCACTCGGGAACATTGCAGGCACACCCACCCCCAGGGCCACTCACTGCTGCTTGCGGCTCAGCTCCTGCTCCTTGTGCACCAGGTCTTGCTTGAGTGAGGCCAGTAGCTCCACACTCACGTCCACCTGGCGGGACAGCTCAGATGCTCGCTCCTCCAGCTCCTCCTTCTCGCGGCCCAGCCGCGCGCTCTCCTGCCTAGCTGTCTCCAGCTCAGCGGCCTTGCGCTCCAGCTCCGCCTGCAGCCGGCCCACCTGGCCGGCGATCTTCTGCTCCACCTCCTCGCTCAGCCGCTCCAGCCGCCGATCCACCTCCAGCTTCTCCAGCGCGCGGATCTTGAGGCGCGCCAGGCCCTCTTCGTAAGCCACATCGGCTGGTGAAGGAGACGCGGGCGAGGCAGAAGCGGGCCCGGGGCAAGAGCCGGGGCCCGGACCCGGCGGGGGCGTGGAGCAGGCCGAGGAGGCCACGGACTTGCGGGCGAACAGCTCTCCCAACGGGATCTCGATCTCACGCAGCGCATAGCGCGCGGCGGCGGCGGGTACGAGGCCCGGCTCTGCCAGCTCCTCGCAGGGTAGGCTGGCGGGCACCAGGTCGCTGGGGAAGTGGGCGAGGGGTGCGTGGTGGTGATGGTGGTGCAGCAGGTGTGGCGCTGCGGACGACGGCCCCGCGGCCTGCTCCTTGCCCTGGAAGGAGGTGCTCTCGAAGACCTCGCGCCGGGCGCCGGGCACGGCCAGCAGGGCGGCGGGCTCGGGCGCCAGCGGGAAGCCGGAGGCAGCAGCGGCTGCAGCTGCGGCTGCGGCACCGTCGCAGATGCTGTTGGTCTTGGAGAGGATATAGAGCGTCTCGTATGTGTGGCTGTATTCCAGGTGTGCGCGCAACGACGACAGGCTCCGGAAGCGCTTGTGCTCCCCACAGCGGGGGCAACGGTACGGCAGGTCCAGCGAGGCCATGGCCCCACCGCCGCCGGGGCGCCCGGGCTCCACTTCGGCCGCCCCGCAGGTCAGCCGGGACGAGCCCCCCTGCGGAGTTAGGAAGGCTCTGAGGGTCAAGGGTCAGGGGAAGGAGGAGGCTAGAAAAGAGGGAGTAAGTCTTAGGAGGATGGTATCACTGCTTCCCTCCCCAGCCCAGGTGCCCCCCGTTGTGAGGAAATTGGCTCCCCAAGAAACACAGGCCCAGAATGGAAGGTCAAGGGGGGTATGCGCGGTCTGACCCCAGAGGGGCTGGCCTGCTCTGGCACCTGTGCAAGGGTTCATATGTGTACATGAGTGAGATAGAATGAGATTTCCTTTTTTGTATTGGGGGGGGAGCATTAGTTTTATTTACAATAGTTCCAGCCTCAACCTATCACCTGTAGAATGGATAAACCGTGGATTAAGTAATAGAATATTATCCTGCAGTAAGAAAAGGAACCATGGGCCACACAATAACATGGATGAATCTATTCGATGTCATGTTGCAGGAAAGAAGCCAAACCAGAGTTGATGATGACAGAGTCAGAACAGAGTTTACCTCTGGGGACTCTATGAACTGGGAAGGAGCAGGAGGGAACCATAAGTAATGCTAAAAATGTTGTCTATCTTGAGATGAGTAGTGGTTACACAGGTGTATGCCTATGGAACCAGTCAAGCTGTACACTTAAGGTGGGTACATTGGATGTATTTGACTGTATGTATGTGTGTGACATCTCAAAAAAAACTTTAAAAAACACTTATTTCCATGTTGTACAAACCACACCAATCAGACAGACTAGACTATTGGCACCATATTGTAGTGATCAAGTGACACATCTGTGTATGTGTCACTGCTCCTGTCCCTACTTCTGCACAACACCCTTCCAACCCTGACACTCCAGGGATCTAGTTCCTTTCTTCATTTTTCTTTGCTGGGTTGGTCTCTAATAAGTGCCCCTGCTCTGTCCTCTGTTCCAAGGATCACATGTGTCCTTCCCAGACCCCTTCTGACATAAACCATCTTTCTCGGCATTCCACCATATCCCTAGCTTCCAGTTACCCCTCCAGTTACTGCCTTATGGGATCTCTATCCCATTCCGCATGCTGTCTCCATCCTATCTACCTATGGCTGAGCTTCAACCACCCTCTGCTGTCACTGTGTTCCTCTGGGCCACAGACCACTTGCTAATCAGACAAACCAGTTGTCATCAAGGGTCTTCACCCACTTGGTCCTTTGGCTGCTACTCCCGATCCATCCATTTTTATAGGCTGCCTTGAAGCTGTCTCAGTTAGGTTCTCTGACCTCCTCTTCTTGTTGCCTTCCTGATCTTCCCGTCTCCTGATAGAAAGGCTGCCTTCACACACCCTTTTGCCTCTAGCTCTCCCAGGCAGACTAGTTCATGCCCACTTCCAAAACATTGACTCTCAGCTCTACCTCTCCATCCTGACCTGCCCTAGAGTTCCATTTGCTTTCATGCATTTCCACTTCAATGAGAAAAGGAAAGACATATGGATAGATGTTGGCCCCTTTTTCAGCCCAGAACCCAGTCCTCCTTCTGGTAATAGCATCTTGTATTGATCTTGGGGAACCATCTTTCCTTCCCTATTTTCTTAGCTCTAAAGGTCTGAGTGGGGATTAATGGTCTACCCTGTGTCCAGGAGTAAGAATGTTACATAGTCCTGGACAGAGCCCTGGGGTAGGCACAGATCACCCAAGTGAAACCCATGCACCTTTTCTTTTTTAATCAAATTGTATTGACTTGCCTTTGTTTACAATTGTGAGTCTTTTCTCATTGAGTCAATGAGTCCTTTCTCCAGGATGTCTCTGGAACAACTGGAGGAGTACAACCTCTTTACAATAAAAGTTCTAAGCTAATGGGGGCGGGGGAGGGGCAGAACTGGGAGGTGATCTTTATTTCCTTTTGGGAGGAACAACCTGGGTTCCAACACAGAAATGGAACTGATATGGAAAAAGAGTGATTCCTCATAGACACTATTTGAGATCCTGATTCTCTTTTGGCTTAAGTCAGTTGGAGTTGAGTGTTATTTGCACCAAGAAAAAAATCCTAACCCAGAAATTAAAATAAAAAATTATTCCCCCAAGTAATAGATCCTAAGAATCAGCTGAACTAAATGGGATAGTAAGATAGTTTCCCCCACTCAGAGGTTGGTAACCAGACTACACAGCAGCGAAGAAGTTAATTAAATTGTCCTACTGCCTCTGGAGCTCAGATGATGTTCCTACCAAGGCTGAAACTTTAAGGGACTTACTGAAAATATCAAGATGTTGGAGTGCACACTTTCCCATGGCCTCAGTAAGTACAGCAAGAAAGAGACACTGAAATGGGTCCATTGAAAGAGAAGAAAGGAAAAGCTGCTTTGCCCAAATTGGCCCTTTCTGCCTGAGGCCAGTAATCCAATATGGCTGAGAGTCAGATAATTAAAAGCCAGTTCTCTGCTTCTAGCTAAAGTCAGCTCAAGCAAGACAGGGAGGTTGGAAACAGAAGGAGACAAACAGGGCCTGATAGGCTCTTGACTCCTCAGGCTCTTTTGTATTTCCCTCCTGCTGTGCCTTCCCAGCTCAAGGGAGGCCACTGTTGCTTCCATTACAAGCAGCCTTCCACTGGGATGCAGCTAGAGTAGGAAGAGGCAAACGAGCTCTGCCTCCCACCCGAGATTACAGGTTGGCATTGCCCTTTAGCAGAAGCGAAGCTAGAAGCTACAGAACCAGAGGTTCCCTGGATGGGGAGAGCATCAAGGTCTGTTAAGAGATAACCCCACCTCCTGCCCCAACACCAATACCAGGGAGTCAATTCAGAAATTATAACTTTCAGTGAGATCTCTACCTTGGTTAATAGTTCTGGGGATGACTCAATTTGAATTTACTGAAAGTCTCTTAAAGATTAAGGGAATTTGAAGAAACCAGGAAAACAAAAGCAAGGGATTACTGAGCTCCTGAAGTTCCCCAGCCCCCAAATCTGCACCAATGGGAGGTGACCCCTCAATGGCCCTTCTGCATGGCCACAAAGGACATGGGAAGCTCTTCAACACAGCAGACCAGAGCAGCTGATTGGTGGGCTGAGGAAGCTTGTCCTCCATAGGTTGAGAATGTGGACCGTGCTTTGGACCTGTGCTTTTCCTTATCTCCCCTCTTCAATGGGAGGGTTTTGTTCTTTCAGATATCTGATTTTTCCTCCACCGTTGTAATCTGTCCATTAGTTAAAAGATTATGAGGGGATTGCTCAGTACCTTGCCAAACAGATAGCCTCTCACCAAGATCTGAATTATAACTGAATAAAGTAAGTGGGAGAGAACTTGGAACATCTCCTTCCAAAGATGTGACAAATGGGTTTTAAGTTCCATGAGGGGGATATAGTTGCATTGTGATAAACAGAAAAAAATTAATTATATGAGAAGGGTGATCGATGTAGATTCTAAACAGCCAAGATGGAATGTACTGGACATTTATTGTTTTTACTGCTCAGTTTCAGTCCTCTTTTGTGAATAGACGCCCAGTATTCCCAGAGTGAGCCATTCTCCCCAACTTTGAATACTGATTGTCAGGAAGGGGTGAGTTCCCAGCTCCAAGTCAGCACACATGACCCTTGTCTATTGATCAGTCACAGTGATCACTCAGTACTGGACATGTGTCCTAGTTCAGGCTAACCCAGCCACTCCAAGACCTGTCCTCAGCTAGTAGAATGTGAGCCTAGAGCTGCTTGCGTTCTTTCTTTGGGCAAGAAAAAGAAAAAAAACTCTTGATGACATCCCTTGAGCATCCAGATCCAGATGTACCTGAAACTTTAACCCAGGACTTGTCAATGGGTGAGTCAGTAAGTTCTTTTTGTAGTTCAATCATTTGAGTCAGTTGCAAGTCACTTGCAATAACACTCTAGGCTAACACAAAAACAGCGTCCAAAAACAAACCTTGGACTTCCTCTCACCCATTCCCCTGTTGCCTTCAATGGTGCCACTGTCTTCTCGTCACACCACACTGGTGGCCATCTTGATTTTGCTCTCTCTGCTAGCCATCAACCCCTGATGACTTTTCCTTCAGAATATTTTCAACCCATCTCTTCTCCTCTCATGCTTTGTGCTGCTCTGAGCCACTGTGTCCTCACACCTGGACTGCCAGCCCAGTCTATCATCCCACAGCTCCTTCCATCTTCTAGAAGGCACCAGCTTCCTCCCTCTACATATCACTCCTGCTCATGCTTCTTCAATCACTCCTTATCTTCTATCAAATACAACCAAACTCCTCAGTTTCACCTTTGGCCTCCCTGTACTCTTGCTTCTTTGAAAGTTAAAGTGGCCTGGTTGTTTCACTTGCATTTCTTTGACTTACTATGGCTGGGCATATTTTCGCACACATTTGCCAATCATGTATAACTCTTTGTTAACTTGTCTATGTATACATTTTATACTGAACATCCATATTTTCTTATTGATTAGCAAGGGCTTTTTATAATATTGATCTTTTGTCATCTATAAGATTATAATTGCAAATATTTTTCCCGTGTGTGTGGAGTGGCTTTTACTTTAGCTTATGGTCTCTATTGATATGCTAAGGTTTGCTTCAGTAAAATATTTATGATTAGGTGATTTGGTTGTCATGCTCAGGAAGCCCATCCCTATGCCAAGATTATATTCAACTTCTAGTACTTGGTGATTTCCTCTTTTCTAAAGTCTACAATTTTTTTTCAATTAAAAGTGTTAAGCAAATAACCATAATACCATAAACTGAGAAGGACTTGGTGACATACAAAAAATTTAAGCTGTGTGGTTTCTTGTTATCAATAGATTTTTAACCCAGCAATTCGAGGTATGCATAGTAAGACAAGGATTTTAAAAAAACACCTTTTTGTTAAGGATGTTTTCACACATATTCAATACTAGAGGGAATATGATGATGAGCTATGAACACATCATCCCATTTCAACAATCATCAACCCATGGCCAACTATTTTTCACTTATACACTGCCCCTTGCTTCATACTCCC